TGTTTGCCATCGAGCCTGGCTTGTATTTCTTCTTCTGAGAAGTGTCTGTTTAGTTCATTTGCTCATTTACTGATTGGGTTATTATTATTGTTTTTTTAAAATGTTTTTTTAGTTGTTGATGGACTTTTATTATACTTTATTTATATGTGATACTGAGAATTGAACCCAGGGCCTCACACATGCTAGGCAAGTGCGCTACCACTGAGCTACACCCCTAGCCCRGTTATTATTTTCTTGTGGTAAGTTTTTTGAGTTTTTTTGGTATATTCTGTCAGAAGAGTAACTAACAAAGATTTTCTCCCATCCAATAAGCTCTCACTTCATGCTCTTATTTCCTTTGCAGTTGAAAAACCTTTTTTTATTTGATACCATCCCATTTATTAATTCTTGGTATTATTTCCTGCTTGTTCACAATTCTTTTTTTTAAATATTTTTTTATTTGTTGATAGACCTTTATTTTATTTATGTATTTATATGTGGTGCTGAGAATTGAACCCAGTGCCTCACACATGCCTGTGCGCTACCGCTGAGCCACAGCCCAGCCCCTTGTTCATAATTCTTGTTCTTCATGCTTTTAGGGTAAAATTTAAGCTCATTAGGGAGATATATATCTCCCTCTAAAACAGCTAAGAGAATTAAAATATTTGCCCCTAGAGAAAGGGAAATGGGAGAGGAGTTAACATTGGATCAGCAGATAACTTTTTAAAGTATAGGTTTATATAATTGTGGTAGTAAAAAGAAAAAAGAAAAAAAAAACCTCTTGGGGGAAAAAGAGAAGAAGAAAATATCACCTAGAGACACATTTTAACATTTGGTTTCTTTTTTCCCAGTCTTTCCACACTCCATATGTRATTTATTTTTCCTCTCTTTCCCCTTCCCTCACTGCCTTCCTTTTGATCACTGTAATCATGCTATATTTAAAACTGGTAACTCGCTTACTGAGCTCTTAGATGAACTGCAGACTTCAGGCTAATAAATGCTTTATATGCACTGTTTCATTTGGYCAACCCAACTACAAGTGCCAATTTTTAAGACATGTCATAATTATTTTCTTATTTAAGCTTATGGTCTTTATAATCACCTATTCATGGTATAGTATTTCATTTAGTATACTATTTATCTGTACCCCCAACTTGTTAGAMTTTTAAGTTGTTTTTCAGCTTTCTTTTTTAAAATGTTTTTTAGTTGTTGATGTACCTTTATTTTTAATTTATTTATATGTGGTGCTGACRATCGAACCCAAGTGCCTCACTCATGCTAGGCAAGCACTCTGCCACTGAGCCACAACCCCAGCCCATGTTTTTCAGCTTTTGCTATTATAAAGAACACTTGAATGATAGATTTTTTTCCCCCTCGAAGCATTTTCTAAGTTTTAAGCTTTTAGGATAAACTTCTAGAAGTAGGATTACTGGGTTAATGGGTATGAACATATTGCAAATTTGCTTATTGTAAACTGTCGAGAGCACTTTTGCTCCCAGTGTTTCATGAGACCCGATTCTCATGCAACTCTGAGATGGGTGGGAGAGAGACACCCATGAGAACCCTGGGAACTATCTTCCCAAGGCCACAACAGATGCAGAAGGAGCCAGAAGAGACAGGAAGTAAAATGCATGTTTCCAACTTTCCTTTTTTTTCCTTCTCACTGTGCCCCTAAAATGATAGGAAACTCAGGTCAAGCAATCCTTGTYACTCCCCTTCCTAGTCACCACTGCCTTCACCTACTAGATTTCCTCCATCACAGAGCATTTTCCATTCACTGGGGACCATTCTTTGTTAGAAGGAAAGTGAGACCTTCCCAAGAGCCCAAGGATCACACACTGGGAAACCTCCAAATCCTAAAGAGGAGAAAGGGTAGGACAGAGAAAAGAACATGTGAAACAAGTGGACTTTGCTAAGTTAGAATATGGGATAGGAACCATGAGAAGGTGTACAATGAACAAATAGAAAACTCGGTGAAGTTTGAGGTGAGGTGTTTGGGGTAAAGACATAAAGGCCTTTGACTATGATATGTCATGAAGTGTTAAATCTACTTCTTGATATCGGTTCACTTTTTCCAGACAAAAAACTAAAATAATATTTTGTGTTTTCCCTTTCCTTTTTCCCCCCCAATGTAATGATCAAAAAGTAACTTCAAATGAGTGTTTATCTACCACAGAAGAAAGTGATTCCTGTGTTGCCCAACCCACACCCCGCACACCAGGAAAAGAATCCATATTTCATGGCAACATACAAAGGGAAAGCCTTCCCCCTCTGGAGAAGCCCAAGGCATCAGTGGTGCCTACAGCTAATGGTGTTGTATCCCGTGAACGACCCCTGGCAAAGGAGGTAGCCCCTGAAAAGGATGCCATAGACCAGATAGGACCTACAGAGAAGACTCAGCCTCTCCAGGGACCCGAGGAATCTGAGGCACCTCATTTAGGTGGCAGAGATGATACCCCAGGAGCAGAAGAAAAGAAGAAGGATGTGGAAACAATGACAGAAGTTCAGGCTGTAAATGCTGAGACTGAACTTTCAGAAGTCAAGGATCCATCTTCAGAGACAGCAGGAGAGAGGCACTCCTCTGGAACAGGGGAAGATGCTGGGAATCCACCAACTGTTGCGGTGATGCAACCTCCAGGAACAATGGAGAACATTCAGCCTCTGGAAACAGATGGAGAGCTGCGGCCTCCAGAAGCAACGGGAAAAGATGAACAGTCCCAATTTCTAGGAGCAATTCCCAAAGAGCACAAATCTCCAGAAATGTTGGAAGGAAGTCAGTTTGTGGAAACTAATGAAGAACAGAAATTTCAAGAAACAGTGGGAAACGAGGAGCAATCCCAGCTTCTAGAAACCATTTCCAAAGAGAATTTAACATCAGAAATATTGTACAGAAGTCAGTCTGTGCAAACTCCTGTCATGAACGACTTACTCCACACAAATTCTGAAGGTCCTGAAAACATGGAGCAGATTCAACCTGAAAGAATAGTTGGAAGCATGGAGCAACCGGAAGGAATTCCAGAGACAGCGGCAAATGTGGAAATGGCTGGAAAAATTCACACTAACCAAGCAGACCAACACACTGAAGGTAAAGTCAGGCTGTTAGAGATTCAGAATGTTGATTTAGATGAGTTCCATAGACCAGCACTGGGGGAGAGGGAGCCTGACACACAGTCACTGAAGTCTTTCAGGTGGCTGAAGTTCATTACCCTAACCAAAAAGGCTTCCATCCTGGGAAACAAGCATTCCATCCAGCCTCAATCCAGCTTTCCAGAAAATCTCTTCTAAAGCATRGTCTTTATTTACAGTGTCGAGATTTTTAACTTAGAGTCTGATGGTTAAATAGAATCATCCCTTGGCCAGATACTGTGGTGTGCACCGATAATCCAGCAGCTTGAGAGCCTGAGGCAGGAGGATTGTTGAAAGCCAGCCTCAGCAATTTAGCAAGGCCCTGAGCAACTTAGAGTGACCTTGTTTCAAAATAAAATAATAAAAAAATAAATGAATGAGCTGAGGATGTGGCTCAGTGGTTAAATGCCTCTGGGTTCCATTCCTGGTACCAAAAAAAAAAAAAAAAAAAAAAATCATCCCTTGAAGGCAACATGTCAAAATTTCTGAATTTGTCCAAGTTCACTTTTCATTAGGTTCTCTATATGGTAAGAGGATCCAGAATTAAGGTGAACAAATTATTAGCGGAGGATTTTACCTTCTAATGAAAGAACACACAAAGAATATAGCTTTTAGAATGCAATTTTCATCTCGGTTAAGCACATCCTTAGAAAATTATTGTCATTMTATTTCTGTACTGTTTTTGTTTGTTTGTTTGTTTGTTTTTGGTGCTGGTGATTGACCCAAGGCTTTGCACATGCTAAGCAAAAATTCTACCACTAAGCTATTCCCCCAGCCCTATCTTTTTATCTTTATGAGAAGGCTAAAGAAATATATTATGTTTTGGTATGTGGTATTTAAAAAATTTTAATCTGCTTTATCAGCATAAAATGATATTTATGCTGTTCTTGAAGTATATTGTTTGTTGGAGTTATAACTAAAAGTAACATTTTTTTCTGAGGCATGATTTACATTTTGATAACATTAGCTTCATAGTATTGTATAATTAAGTGAAACATTAATTATGACCATCTGTTTCTTAATTCTTTAATTTACTAACTCAGGTTTTTGTGGTGCTAGGGAACAAATCTTGCACCTTGTACACGCTGAGCAAGTGCTCTATCACTGAAATATACCCCCAGCCCAACTCAGGTTTTTTTTTTTTGCTATTGGGGATTGAACCCAGGAGCACTTTACCACTGAGCTACATCCCCAATCCTTTTTATATTTTATGTCATTTTGAGACCCAGGCTTGCTAAGTTGCTGAGGCTGGTCTTAAACTTGTGATCCTCCTGCCTTAGCCTACCGAGTTGCTGGCATTATAGGTGTATGCCRCCACTCTGACYCAACTTAAGTATTTTTTGAGTGCCTAAGCATATGCTAGGTGCTCAGGATGCAGAATGAGTAGGAGATAGTCCTTGACCTCAAGGGCCCTCAGTTTATTGGGGGAAGGCAGAATGTAAACAAATTACTATACTCTATTGAGGCAGTTGTTTTTCTAAAAATGCAAAAAAGTGCTATGAGTCAGAAGGGAGAAGCAAGTAAAAACATATATTTTTAGACCATGCTTGGAAAAAAATCAAAATCATCCCTTGAAGGCAACATGTCAAAATTTCTGAATTTGTCCAAGCTCACTTTTCATCAAGCTCTTTATATGGTAAGAGGATCCAGAATTAAGGTGAACAAATGATTAGTGACCATGCTGAAAATGAGTGAAATGGGGCCTGTGGGATTCCATGGAGAGTCTTAGAGGACCTCAGGAAGCTGCTGCTTGGGAATGGGAGCCAATGTTGCCCAAACTGATTTTAGGGAGTTACATTTGCAATATCTAGACTTTTAAATGCTAGCAAGCTCTATGTCTTTAATGAATGTTTTCTTTAAATACCATAATAGTCAAATAAGACAGATTTTTGGCCAACCCTGGACCATCTTTTGACTTATATAGAGATGAAACATTCTAGTATGTTCTATTGCCATTTCTTGGGTAATTTTGCATCCTGATTTTATTTAGAATGCCAAGACACCAAGATGTTCAGGGACTTGACATTGGCCACACTTGCCTTTCTTGATACCACCAAAGAAACTTTCTGCCGCAGTCTGGCTGGGCACAAAATCACGAGCCACTCAAGCAGGAACAAACTTTATTTTTGAAACTGCCGCCAATGCCCTGTATGCTCCGGGGACGATTGCCGACCGACCCACACGGCTTCTCCCGGACCCCCACAGGAAGTCCCTCCTTCGGAATTCCCTCCTACCGCACTTCCCCAACCAATGGGAACTCTCTAGCAGGCCGAGGGGGACAGCAGGAGTCCAATATCCATATGAATGCAGAATCTAAACATAATCATATCATCTCAATGGCTAGCTGGCGTCACCTTTCAACCAAAAATGCCATGCATCATATTACYTGGCTGTGGCTCTTAGCAWCTTTCTGCATAGACCTAAGAGCAAAAACTGCCCCATTGGARACAAACTATGGAAGCAATTTGTTGTTAATGCTAAGTGAGTRTTTCATATTATCTCTTTGGATTACTTTTCCAGGTGAGACAGGAGAAAAGGTGGAAACAGAGATGGAGAATGAGAATGTAAGTGAAAGGGCTGAAACAAAAGAAGAAGAAACAGGAGAAGCYGTGGATCTTTCAGCAGCCACAGAGCTGGGGATGGCGACAGAAGGGTGAACAGACACAGCCTGGTTCAGTGGAGAGATGCAGTTTGTARTTGTGCATCATTTCGTGTATGTGTGTTTATGGTTCTTAACTTTCTATAGYTACATATTTTGCACAAGGAGTGTGATTGTAGGTAGACTGTTGGAACCATGACAGTGATGCCAYGCTCTTGACTGTGTTGTTCCATGAAACTGCTAAGCTGGGAATGGTTTTCTTAGCTACTTAGGACAGTGACACATTTAAAATCATAATAGCCAGAGCCAATAAAAACTGGGCTATGTGATCATTTAAGAGCGTGAGGGTGACTATCTTTATTGTGGCAATGGGTCCATTCAGTATAGGAAAAGATAACCTAAATATAAGGTRTAGACCTGTAGCTACAGAAGGCTGGAGAAAGGAGGTAGCAAATTTTAGGAGAATTCATGATTATAAGTTCATGTAGTTCAATTATGATGGAATAAAAATGAACAACACAAAATTAATGGGACAAACTAGGCCTAGAATTTCTGTCCTATCTTAGAGTTTAGAGCTGGTAGGAATCTTAGGAGGCATGCCATCTCATTACCTTCTCACCTTGTCTCTCTACTACCAAGAGCCTTATTTATCATGATACATTATGTTAATAAAGTGCTTTTCAAAGGAATGTGGCTTTGGTGCTGTCGCAAGATTAGTCATTTTTTGCAAGGAAGGCTCCACATTTTCCGTTTGTGCCTTTTTGAATCAGCTGCTGATTTTACACTTATGTGAGGTGTTGGACTAACATTAAAAGCATTTTAAATTAATTGACATTTAATATATTTCAGAGACAACAAATACCAAGGATTAAATCCTAGATTTGTTGCTATGTGGAGTCTTCCTGGGCCCTATTCTTTTTTAGATGATTGCAGCTTAATATTAGGTTTTAGGGGTAAAGAAGATAAGAAATCAAAATATTTATAATATTTTGTAGTGTAAACATTAGGTAGCACAGAAAATCACTTTTCAAGAATTCTTCCAAAGTTGGAAAAGGTAAATGATTGTACWTGAATAATAAATAATGATTGATAATTTTCCCACCAAGTGCCTTGTGTTTATGAATATTGGTAGAATTCTGGAAATATTTGGATTCTATTATTTCTACATATATGTATATTTTAAGGTAATTTCTAAGATGTATTAACTACTCTTACTTTATGTATATATTAAAATGACTTCTGAGAGGACATGTGGTAAGAATATAAGATATAGGGGTGGGGGATATAGCTCAGTCGGTAGAGTGCTTGCCTCACATGCACAAGGCCCTATGTTCAATCCCCAGTACCACCAAAAAAGAAAGAAAAAAAAAAGAAAGAAAAAAAAATAGGATACAGGGAAGAGTATATCATCTTAGTTCTGATTTTAGTATTAGTTTATGCTTCTGACTTTAAAGTGTTCAAAGGTAGATAAAAGAGGAGTTCTTTGAGTGGATGATGTCATTCTATCTGCAAAATAAAGAAGATTGTGATTTCTGTTTTATCTGTCTTTAATTTCAGGCATTTAGCTCCTTTAATGGTACTCTACACTTCTGTTGACTCAATGAATGAATAATAYCAAGGGTTCCTATTTATACTGAATTCATTTAGAAAATAATACATTTAAGCTGGGTGTGGTGGCTCATGCCTATAATCCCAGCAGCTCAGGATGCTGAGGCAGGAGGATCATGAGTTCAAAGCCAGCCTTAGCAAAAGCAACAAAGTCACAAAGCAACTCAGTGAGACCCTGTCTCTAAATAAAATACAAAATAGGGTTGGGGATGTGGGTCAGTGGCTGAGTGCCACTGAGTTCAATCCCTTGTATGAAAAAAAAAAAAGAAAGAAAGAAAGAAAAGAAAAGAAAAAGAAAGAAAAAATAATACATTTAAAATATGAAATTGTGTGATATTACCCTAATCCTATCTGGGAAACAGGAAAATTCGTTTTCATATCACARGCTAAAGCTAAATGAATAGCTTCATGTTTGGTGTAGTTCCAAAACYAGAATTTTTAGGTCAGAAAGTTATATTAATCAAGAACTGATAAAATTTATCTTTTGAGCTACATGTTTTCATTCAAAGATATTTTTTTTCTGACCAGAAGATACTTTCTTACATGTATTTAGTAAGTAGAAAACACCAGGACTGATAAGTATGTGAGATAATAAATATGCTAATTAGCTTGATTCAATCAGTACAGAATGCATACACATATATGAATAAGTCATTTATTCATATTATGAATATGAGTATTTATATTTATGATTTATCAGTTGAAATAGAACTTAAGGGGCTGGGGCTGTAYGTCAGTGGTAGAGTGCCTGCCTCATATGTATTAGGAACTGGGTTCAATCCTCAGCACCATATAAAAATAAAGATATTGTGTCCATCTACAATTAAAAAAATATTAAAAAAAGAAATAGAACTTGAAAAAAGTCAGAGCTTAGTACAAAATATAAGTGATCACCTTAATAAATGGAATTATTCTTTGTATCAARCACTGAAATAGGAGGATTAATAGGCATAAAAGTCCATTCTTTTGGTGACTTATTAAAATTTTAATATTTAAAGAGATCTAAGTTTTCCAAAGTGTTTATTAATTCCATTCTTTCCCATTAGTGTGTCAACTAATTCTCAAAATTTTGGAAATTTGTATAAAAATATTTTTTCTTTCTTTGTTTTTTGGTACCAGGAATTGAACCCAAGGTGGATTACCACTGAGCCATATCCCCAGTCTGTTTTTTGAGACAGGGTCTCACTAAGTTCCTTAGGGCCTCACTAAGTAGCTAAGGCTGGCTTTGAACTYGTGATCCTCCTGTCTTAGCCTCCTGAGCTGCTGGGATTACAGATGTGCACTACCCTACCCAGCAATTTTTGGTACTTTCTGTACTTTTGTCTATAGTCCTTAATGTGGCTACTAAGGCATCTTTAGAAACTTTGTTTTCTTAGATTTTAGGTAAAATAGGCACTTTGTAGTCCAGTTTGTGTCCTACTAATTTTAATTTCATTATTTTCTTTGCCTACCTAGGAGGGAAATGGTGAACAAATGATTTTCTAACTAGTATCACCAATAGGGATGAACATTTTGCCAGTCGCAAATCTAGGAAATACTCAGGCCAGATCCCAAACTCTTGGCTTGAAGTGCCACCCGCTGGGGATCCACAGGATAAAAAAGTGTGATGGACCTGTGATCTTATTGCTTTTTCCATTTAGACTTTGGAGTAAGAGATTCTAACAAAGTGAATAGCTTTTGAGCAGTCAAAACACACACACACACACACACACACACACACACACACACACACACGTCACTCTTAACAATTTTTTTCCCCAAACCTGGCCTTGAATTAAGAATTGCTTTTAAAGGAATTTTTTTTTTTTTCACATTTAGCTAATCAGAATCTTGAATGGCCATAGTCAGATTATGCTACTAGGGTTTATATTTGTGTTCTTTTGGTGCACATAATCACTTGTTAGAGATTACAACCATGCCATTTTTATAGATAGTTTGGGCCCCAGCACCTCACTGGGAAGTTACAGGCCCCAAAGTTATCTTTTTTAACCATCACCACACCCCTAACAGTTTTAGGAGAGGATAAACTAGTAGTTGATTTCAACTAGTAGTTAATAGATCAGTATGGATGAGTTTTAAGTTTTCTGGATATCTGAGCTATTTAAAAACTTTTTGGGCCAGTTTCCTGGCAATCCTAGAGACTCTGGAGGCAGAGGCAGGAAGACCAAAAGTTTGAGGTCAGCCTCAGAAACTTAGTGAGACCCTGTCTTAAAAAAAAAGACTGAAGGTGTAGCTTAGTGATAAAGCACTTGACAAGCATGCACAATCCCCTGGGTTCCATTTTGAGCACCACAAAATCAAATAACCTTTTTCTTTTTGGTAAAAATAACAAAAAACAAAAAACGCTGTTTTGTTTAGGTACTTAAATGGGACACAGTGATTATTTATGTAATTATTTCAGGGAAAGGCTTATTAAAATTTTTCTTACTAAAAATGAAAGCATTGTAGAAATTCAGAAAATATGAATTTCTTAAGATGAAATCTAAATATTACCTGTAATTCAGTTCAAAATTTAGGTCAAAAATCATCACTGTTAGCATGTTGATGTATATGTGGGGTTATTATTATTATTTTGATTGCAAAATTTGTAACAAGTTAGACAAGGCACAATAGTTGATAGAATGTTAAGTCTATTGAATGAGCACAGTAATTCTAGATTTTCCCCATTGGAATTTGTTGGAGATAATAAGTTAAAGAGAAGGGTCCAATTATAGTTGTTATATTAGTGAACATTGATTAGTGGTATAGAGGAAAAAACTGTTCTTAAGTATATTAGCGCTTAGCTGACCATGATTTATGACTTATGAATAGTTCATGAAATGGATTTTTGAAATTATTTTTAATGCTTTCCAATTACTAAACACATGAAGTGAGAAGACTGTAAGCCCTTTTTAGGGCAGGAAAAGCATCTCATATTTCATTTTTCTTACAGGACTTAGTACAAATTCAACATTCTGTAAATATTTGTTGATGACAAATGCTGTTTATTCATATATAATCAAGGTAATTTCCTTATAATTAATTATAATTGGCTTTAGGGGCAATTATGGGAAATTTTATAAAATTGTTTTGTACTCTTGCTTCAACATTTATAATTTTGATTGAATAAATATGTCATTAGAATTAATACAGTGTTTGAATCTTATCTTGGTATATTTATCTAATTGTTACTACAGGAACGTATATAAAATTTCTTTTGGCTCATGGTGTTCTTCAGAAAATAGCAAACTAAAAATATATACTCTATCAAAGGTAGAAATATGGCAACAATAAGGAAATATGGGTGACTCATTTAGATATCTCATACTTCAAATAGCTTGCTCTATGTTTGAAAGGCCAACATACTGCAATTATTATTTTTCACATTTAACAAAGTCTAATGATCCTGTTCTGATTTAGTGGAAAGAAGATTAAAAATCCCAACACAGTCATTAAGTTAATTAACCTGGGTSCCGGTACCTTATTTCCTTCTAGCTTTTTCATTCTAGGATTTGATTTTTAAGTCATGACTTATATACAACCATTCCTCTTAGAACCAACCTGGCTGGGTCTAATTTTCTTCACTACAATTATTGGTTTTGGAATGGCTCTTTCCTGACTTGAGCTGGACCAATCAGAGACTTCCCTGAGTCTCTTTCCAGATATACTAGGAAATGGTATCTTTCAGCTGGAGCTAGTATACAGGTAGCCTGTATGTATGGACCTGCAGCATCTTCCCACAAGAGACAGACAGAACCATGAGGTTTCTGGACCACATGTGTCTGAAGTCAGCTATATCCTGGAATTCTGGGTGATCTGAGCCTGAGTTCCTTTTTTGATCTTCTTACACTAGTTTGAGTTGAGTTTCCATCATTTACAAATATGAGAATCTTCATGTTAAGGTAGAAAGAGATGTCCTATAAATAAGCTGGAGATAATAAAAATGTAAGAGCAGAAATTAATGATAAAATAAGATATAAGGGCTGAGGGTATAGCTTAGTGGGAGAGGAGAATGCTTGACTGGCACACACCCAAATCCCTGGTTTTAATCTCTAGCAACACCAAAAAGAGAGGGAGAGAAAGGGAGAGAGGGAGAGAGGGGGAGAGGAGGGGAGAGGGGAGAAAGGGGAGTGGAGGGGAGGAGAGAGACATACAATAGAAAAGGATCAACAAAGCCAAAAAGTGGTTCTTTAACAAGATTATTAAATTGATAAACTTCTGGGAGACTGATAAAGGAAAAAAAAAGAGATGGAAAAATAGGCACGGTTAATAGAGACAGCAGGATTAAAAGGTGCCTATAACACGAAAGTTTAGAAGGAATGAGCAAATTCTGCAACACTAAATGACCAAACTGACTACAGAAAATCTGAATGTTTCTGTTACCATGAAATAAATTGAATCAGTTTAAACATATAGCCCAGTTTTCTAGCCAAACTCTATCAAGCATTCCAGGACAGATATTTACAGCCACAAAATCTTTTTTWAAAAAAATCATTCCATTTATCTATCTATCTATCTATTTATTTATATGCAGTGCTGAAGATAGAACCCAGTGCCTCACATGGGCTAGGTAAGAGCATTTCCCCCAGCCCCATAAAATGTGGTATAGAAGTGAAAAGGCAATCTCACAGATGAACATAAAAACAAATATCCAAACTATTAAGAGTATAAAAAATATGTGTGTAGAAATGACTGAAAGTTGTTGACAGGGTTTTTTAAAAAAATAATTATTATTCCAATTGTTTTTGTTTGTTTTTGCCTTGTAAACTAGTATCAAAGAACTGCAGCAAATAAACTCCAAACCTTCCCCCGCACAAAATATGTGTATGTATGTGTATATATATATATATATATATATATACATATATGTGTATATATGTGTGTGAGTGTGTATAAATACATATATTGAAGCTAAGTTGGGATGCACAGTGGATTCTACATCACAAAATTATTGTATTTTACCATAGTAACAATTTTACCACAGGTACAGAAAAAAGTTCAATAAATTTCAACAAACATTTTTAACTCCATTGTCGCCTCAGTGAAGCCTTCCCTTCTTACTGAGCTTTAAAGTGTAATAATCCCAACCAATATCGTCCAAATCTTTTGCTTTGTTGTTTCCTATGACTCTTAACAACCTAACATATAATTTTGTGTTATTTGTATGTATAATAATGTTATGGCAGCACTGCTATAATATAATTTTGGAAACTGTATTGTTTGGAGGAATCATTACATCACCTAAGRTATATCCACACAAAAGAATACTATAATAGTTTTAAAAATGCAGAAGATTTATACATATGTTTATGGAAAGATATTTAAGACAGAAAGTGATCTATAGAATAATGTGTACAGYAAAGTCCTATTTATATAAATAAACAAACAATCATAACCCCCAGATAATCAAGTATTTAATGAATAAAAACTCTTTAACAGAGGTTCAATCTCTTTGGGAAGGTAAGTAGACTGGAGAGTGAATGTGGGGAATTTTCCTTTTTCTTTGGCATAATTGTGAATTGGGATTTATTCTACAGAGGGGAAGTATTTATGTAATAGTTGTCTAAGAATGTTGAGAGACTTTAAAAAGCCAAGGAACAGTGATGTATGCTTGTAGTCCTAGCTACTTGGGAGGGTGAGGCAGGAGGACTGCTTGAGTCCAGGAGTTCAGGGTCAGCCTGGACTACACAGCAAGACTCATCTCCATTCCCAAGAAAAAGAATGACTTTAAAGAACAATCACAAGGTGATTATATATAACTTGAATACAACAGTGTAAAAATATACAAAGTTAAAAATAAACTTAAAGAAGTGAAGTAGCTGGTGATTTACTTCATGGTTCCCTCCCCATTTTTATTTGGTAAATATGTTTTCATGTATAAATTAAACTGTTACAAAATAAGTGAACAAAATCACATGTAGGGAAATCTGCATATGTATTTTATTTCCATTAGAAAAATATTGTCTATATAAAATTTTGGTCCATTTTCTTCTCCTTTACTTCTACAACTCAAGAGTGAATATTTTACTTAAGTAAAACCAGAATCACATATCTAACATGAGAACTAAATACTTCATATCATTTAATTAAATAGAATGTAATTGAATTGGGCTCTTTATGTAGCATCAGTAACTGGATTCATTATCTAATATTCAATTCATGTCAACTCCCTCTATGATATGGTATTTCCATGATAACTACAGATATTTTAGTCACATGTACACTTTCAACATCAATTGTAAGAATCAAAATGTTAATTTAAAGACATGATGAGAATAACACTGCCCACTTATAGACCTGCTGTTGTGAGAGGTCCCTGGACAGCCACTGCTTCAATCTCAATGCGTGCTCCCTGTAAGGTAAATAATCAAACAATGTTTTCATTATTTTGTACAAATTAAAGAGTTTAGTAATACTTTCCAAAAAATGTGAAGCTAACAGCAACACAGTATTTTTTAAAATAAACTTTTCAAAGCAGGAAAGAAGAGAAATATTCACCAAGAACCTACAGCAGGCCAGGTTACCATGCTCCCCACTTTCATGTACATTAGCTCATTTGATTCTCATAGGCAGCCCTATTAGATAGACAATCTTCAACTCATAYAATGAAGGTTCAGGCTGATTAACTGTTTCCAAGTCAAAAAGGTAAATAGCACAGGTTTGATCCTTGTCTTGTGATTTCAAATTCAGAACTCCTTTTACTATACCCAATAACTTACTAAGTTTGATGATAATGATCACTACAAGTAACAATTAATTAAAGCAATAAAAATGCCACTCTTAAATTTTGTTCAGTGGAAAGTTACAAGTTTAAGTCAGTAAAGGCTTAAACTTCTTTATAGGAATATTGTGTGGCTAAAAGCATAGGAAAAGAGCTTCTAGTGAAATTAGAATACCAAACCAGAATGGTGAAATATGGACGCCATAGTAGAGAATATTTTTCTAGTGGTAGATCTGGATTTTTTATTATACGATAGCCAAATGAAATTTTTATTGCAGAATTAAAAGCCCGGCTCAATTTTATTGTTCTCTAAGTAACATTATGACAATACAGMTGTTTCTGTGCTTTTTCTCACAACTTAAGTACTGATTCTGTTATGTTCATGCCTTATAAGGCTTCCTAATGTTTTTCCCCTGCATGTAATATGGGATGTTTACTTTAAGACTTTAAGTTCCTGGGAAGCAGGGACTATATCCTTTCTTTATTTTTAATTTCCTTTCACAGCACTTAACTTAGTTTGGTATATTCAGAAAACAATGTAGCAATTTAAAACTGTGTACATTACTCATTTTAACTATACTTACTTTGGGTAAAGCAGCAACCTGGTAAGCAGCTCTAGCAGGAAAATTACTCTTGAAATCTGAATTTAAAAGAATTTCCTTTTAGTTTCCAGACATTGTACTGTTCAACCTCCATGATCAAGAACCTGGTAAGTGCTACAAGGACTAGTCAGTTCTTAGATATAAGTAACATTTCAGGAAAAAATCTCACATTCAGATCTGTTTGATAAACTGTTTTGATGTATTATAATTTTTAATGCTTTCCTGTCAGCTTTCTGAAAAAAAAATGAAATACATACTCTATCATTTTGATCTTGTTTGATAGGAATGGGATTTGCTCTTTGAAGTGATATTTGCAAACCAGTTAATCTTAATAGGGAATGTCTCCCTAAATCCCTATATCCAGCAATTTTGGCAAGTACTTTCCTTCCCTGTTTTGTTATTTGGGATTGGATCCATTGCTTTATCGCTGAGCTACATCCCCAACTCTTTTTGAGATGGTATCACCAAATTGCTTAGGACCTTGATAAGTTGCTGAAGCTGGCCTTCAACTTGGAATCCTCCTGCCTCAGCCTGCTAGAATTACAGGCATGTGCTATCACACTTAGCCTGGCAGGTACTTTTTCACTAATTTTGATCTTCTCTAGTCTTTTCTTCTGGAGACAATAAGTAATGACACTTTTTCCATGTGATTCCTTTGTCTCTTCCCAGGTGGGAGGGACACCCATTTTCCCTACTACAGCAGTGATAATATCAGCCTTTACTCAGTGCTTACAATATGACAGCATTTGTCTTAACTGCTTTACAGTTTGTGTTAATTTATTTAACAATTCAAACAATCCTATAGAGTAGCAGTRTGTTATCTCCACTTTGCATATGAGGAAACAAGACATGGAAATATAAAATAACTAATTAGCTAGAGATTATGAGATGGTGGTTAGACCATATCATAGCATTAGCAAACATGAGCTATACATATCAGAAATGTTTATGAGGGTTTAAAAAGCCTAAGAAAGGTCTAACGGAAAATGGATTTATAGGTTTTTGTATATTATTTTAGGGAATGTAACAGAAATATCTTAGAGCTTTTTCATGGGGGTATATTGTATGTTTCCAGTAAGACTATTTTTTTTTGGGGGGGAGAGGGAGTACCAGGGATTGAACCTGGAGGCATTTAGCCACTAAGCCACATCCCCAGTAAGACCCCACACAGGGTCTTGCTAAGTTACTTAGGGCCTTGCTAAGTTGCTGAGGCTAGCCTTGAACTTGCAAACTCCTGCCTCAGCCTCCCAAGTTGCTGGGATCACAGGCATGCACCAAGGCGCTTGGCTAGACTATTAATTTGGGGGGTGAATACTAGGGATTGAATTCAGGGGCACTCGACCACTGAGCTACATCCCCAGCCCTATTTTATATTTTATTTAGAGATAGGGTCTCACTGAGTTGCTTAGCACCTTGCTTTTGCTGAAGCTGGCTTTGAACTTGTGAACCTCCTGCCTCATCCTCCCAATCTRCTAGGATTACAGGTATGTGCCACTGTGCCTGGCCCATCTAGACTTATTAATTTTTTAAGAACAAGATGCCATTTCTTTACCATCTCCTGTCACTTTTAATTGATAAAGGGCACTCATTTTGTTAACAATTCACTTTTCTTTAAAACTGTAAATAAGAAAAAAAGATAAATTACTTACACTGTTTGTAGATTTCATTGACAGTATTGAAGTCATTCATGTCAGCCAGCAAAACAGTTGCTTTGACCACTAGAAGATATATACATTCTCATTAGGTTTAGCAACTTGGTCTGATTCAAAACATTTCTTAGAAAAACCATATATGATTCTGTGTCTGTCTTGATTAAAATGGGACTGAAAGGGGTCTGAAAAAGTGAAGTTAGAACAGAGTTGTTTTCCAGACTATTAGACAACTTTAAAAAACAACATGGTATGACATTACTAAATGCCATGTTTTTCAAAAAGACCAAGGAAATATCAAACAGAAATTAACAGTGAAGGAAAACCAAGTTGCTTACCATTAGTGAAATCACAGCCTGCAGCTTTCAGAATTTCACCCATGTTTGTAAGAGCCTGTAAACCAAGGCAAAGAGAGGCCTAAGACACTGGTGTAATACTAAAGTTTTAATTAAATTCGGTGAATCATCTTTTACTAGTACCTCCTTGAGTAGCTTATGTTGCAGAAAAATTCTCCCCACTCTTTCTAGACTATTTCTATAAAGTCAACTCCTTCTTGGTTTTCCTTTAATGGAATGAATCTTTATGAAATACAGTGAAAAGTCAGAAAGGAAGTCCCTTCCTCAGTGCTAAAGAGTGTGAAGTTTTCAGTCAATATCCATTAATTAAGCTGAAACAAATAAGTTCTGGGATTCCTCATTCTATATCACTACTTTATATAATTCTACATCACTTCAAGGAGGTAGTGAGCATTAAAACATGTTTTCTTTTAAAGTAATATTTGATGTTAAAAGGCTCTTTTTTTTCCTCAAAAAACAATATTAGTGAATTTTGTATGTGTTTGATGCTTCAGCTTCCAGAAAAATATCAGTTTGTTACCAAATCCTTAACTTATTCTTTTCAACTTATTCTTCCTCCTCACTTTACTGTTGAAAATATATGATTGCATTTTTTGTATTTTAAACTAATAATTAATCTAAATAGATACTACCTGAGTAAGACAAAAGTCTAAAAGCTGTGAACAAGTACATGCAGAGAAAAGATGTATCCTCTCCTTACTCCTTAGTAAGGGTAACAAACTGTTTCTAGCTTCTTGTTTTTTAATCTTTTACAGAGTCCATGCATAAATGAACATACTCTTAAACACACAAACATATACACCTGGCAGCCTATCGTGTATATGCTATTCTGCTCTTGGTTGGATTTTATCATGTAACAAATTATCTTTGAGAGCTTTGCTTAGCAATTTATTTGTATGGGTCTAGCATGATTTTTTCAACTAGTTCTTTATGAAAAGACATTTAGGTTGTTTTCTATCTTTGGTTATTATAAACAACTTAGTGAATGTATTAAGTTATAATTTAATTCTATTATTGAAATAGAATTGTAGGGGGGGATAGTGGAGGATAGGAAAGGCAGCAGAATATAACAGACATGAGTATATCAATATGTAAATCAATGGAAGTGTAACTGATGGGATTCTGCAAGCTGTATACGGGGTAAAATGGGAGTTCATAACCCGCTTGAATCAAAGTGTGAAATATGATATATCAAGAACTATGTAATGTTTTGAACAACCAACAATAAAAAAAAAGAAAAAAAAAAGAAATAGAATTGTATTCATCATTCTTTTTTAAAAGCACAGTATGTAGCCAGGTATGGTGGTACATGCTTGTAATCCCAGTGACGTGGGAACCTGAGGTGGAAGATTGAAAGTTCAAAGCCAGCCTCAGCAACTTAGCAAGACTCTTTCTCAAAATAAAAAGTAAAAAGGCTGGGGGTGTAGCTCAGTGGTTAAACACTCCTGGGTTCAATCCCTGGTACCAAAAAAACCAAACCCAGTCCAGCCGAACCAACCAAACCAAACACACTGTGTAAAACTGTTAATTTGTTTTTTTCTTATTAACAAATGCTGACTTTTTACTTCTGTGGTGGTGGCTTTATTTGTGTGTGTTGGGGGTCAGTGGCCCTAAAAAGAAAATTTCCCAATCCATGTGTAGGTGGCAACATGCTATTTGATTTTGTTGATTCTGGTCCTTTTTTTTTTTTCTTCTTTTTTGGTACTGGGGATTGAACCCATGGGCATTTTATCACCTAGCCCTTTTATAATTTTGAGACACAGTGTTGCTAAATTGCTGAGGACCTCTTTAAGTTGCTGAGGCTAGCCTGAAATTTATGCTCCTCTTGCCAAAGCCTGTTGAGTCACTGGGATTATAGGTGTGTGCCCCTGCATCTTGGCAGGAGATGGAATACTCTTTTTTGGTTGTTAAATGATTCATTAAATTTCCAACTCTCTTCAATCAAAAACTGGCTTAAGTCAAGTAGTGAATAGCTTAAAAGGCATTTATCTGTTAATGTCTATAACACAAGTCAGGTGGGGGGTTATTAATACTGATCAATATTAAAAAATCATAGCAAAGTGAATTTCAAATGTGGAAAATGACATACTTGTTTAGTTTCTGCTGCTATCCCTCCARGTACAAGCTGTCCACTGGAAGGGTCCATGCCTATCTGTCCAGAGATGTAAACGGTCTTGTCCACTAACACTGCTTGACTGCAATGAACAGAAAGCTGGTGTATATATAAAATGTAAATATAAAATTCGGTGCTAAATGAGTCCTTTGATATGACACAAAATGCGCAAACTGTAAAATAAAACATGATAAATTAGACTTCATTAAGATTAAAAACTTTTATCAATAGACATCTTTGAGAAAATGAAAAGACAAATCAAAGACTGGGAGAAAAATATTTGCAAAACATCCATCTAATAAAGGACTTGTAGGTAGAATATATGAACTCTTTTTAAAAAAAAATTGTGAAGAACTCTTTAAACTCAATAATATGAAGATGAACAACCTAATTTTAAAAATGGGCAAATGAGGGCTGGGGTTGTGGCTCACTGGTGGAGCGCTTGCCTCGCACATGTGAGGCACTGAGTTTAATCCTTAGTACCACATAAAAATAAATAAAATAAAAAAATATTGTGTCTATCTATAACTATTTTTTTTAAAAGGGCAAATGATTAAATAGACACTCCACCAAAGAAGACCTACAAAGAGCTAAGAAGTACATGAAAGATGCTCAAGGTCAGTCACTAGAGGTACCTATGCAGAGCAAAACCATAATAATATACCACCATACATTTCACTCATAATAACAAACATTGGTGAGGATGTGAAACAATGAGAAACACATATACTGTTTGTAGGAAAGCAAAATAGTACAGCCATTTTGGAAAATTTTGGCAGTATCTTAAAAATTTAAACATATACTCAACACACAACCTAGTAGTTTCTTTCCTAGGCAGCAACTATCCAAGAGAAATGAAAATGTATGTCCAAAGCCTTTACATAAATGTTCAGAGCCGCATTGTTYGTGACACCAATAAATAAATAAATAAAAATTTAAAAATCACTCATAGATCTAATTGTTTAATTTCAATTATATGAAATTTTAGACTTTTCCCTCTCACCTCCATTATTGGGGATTGAMTCCAGAGCCCCAGATGTGCTAGGCAAGTGCTCTAGTACTCTAAGCCTCTATATGAAATTTTAGAAAAGACAAAAATGATAGCAGAAAGTAGATTAGTTGTTTGCTGGGTCCAGGGGAGAGGACTGATCATGAATAAGTTTGAAGGAATTTTGGGGGTGGGGGGGCGTGGGTGGTGTATGTGATGGAAATGTTCTAAAATTTGATTGTGGTAGTGGATATGACTCTATATGTTTACTAAAACTCATGAAACTCTATACCTAAAAAGCATCTTTTAAATAAGTAACTTACACATCATTTAAGCTGTAAAACAGAAAAATGCAATGCCAAGAGCACTAAAAACATTAATTATTCTCAGATAAGGTTTTCCTTTATGTAATCTTCCAAAGTTTCTTCATGCATATAGGAACCAAACAAATATATTTATCTCCCTCCTTTTACACAAAATATGGTACATTAAACACTATTGTACACTTGCTGTTTTCACCCGACAGTATATCACCAAGATCTTTCCATAACTATATGTAGAATTTTTCCTTGATTTTTTAAAACAGTTACACAATACTTCACTGTGTATACTTTGTTTGCCTGATCAACTTTGCTTTCAATATTTTATTATAAATAAAGCTACATTCAAAACCATCACATATGCACACACATACATACACACAACTCCATGCACACTTCCACTGAGCAAGTAACCAAGCCCAGATCCCAGGGTCCTCTGGTTGAGTCTTTCTTATGGCAGTACAGGAAACTGTCTCATAGTCCCTATCTTCCAGGGTATCCTAGGGCTAGTGTCTGGTCCTGTTTCTGTAGCTGTGTAGGAACCAGTTGGTCCCTTGGATGTACACAGCAGGCACGATATAACTACTTGTTGATATTTTGCCCTCTAATCACTTAGTAACATAAACAATTTTGGCTATCAATAAATATCTTTTTAGGAGTACCCGTTGGCTCATGATGTGGGTTTTGGAGAGCTGAAGAAGATAGATTTAAATTTAGCAATAGGATTTAAAAAGTCTAGGAATTCTTTTCWACTATCTGGCTTTCACTCTAATTTGCAAATAAGTAACTATTGAGCTCGTTAATTTGTAACCTTTTCTCAGGTTGAACAGTTACCATTAGCTAACATGTCCATTAACTCCTCTGTCTATTAGGCCATCTGCTCTGGGCCCTTTACAAAGTACTTTCAGTTCTCCCCACATCCGAAACATACTTCAAGCCCATATGTATTATCATTTATCAAAAACTTTGTAAATAATCCACTTATTTTCAGACTATTAAAAGTAAGAATTGGAATTCAGACTATCTGAGCTATGTGAGTCATTTCTTGGAGATTTAAAGAGGTTTTGTTAACAAAAACTGGAAACTTGGTGCATGTGTGTGTGTGTGTGTGTGTGTGAGATGCTGGGATGGAACCAAGAGCCTAGGGCATATTAGGTAAATACTCTACCACTGAGCTACACTCCCAGCCCCCTTAATACTGAGTATAAGAATCCTACTGTCTGCAGATAGGCGTAGATAAGTTGTTAGGTTCCAGAAAATTTTAAAGTATGTTGTTCTGCTTTGAGGTCAAAGGGTAAAAACACTTTTAAAATCATTAACTCTCATGTCATAATCTATGTCGCATTAGGACTGGCTTGGGGTGTAATAACAAAATGAAAGCAATGCAATAACATCATGATGTTGCAATCTCTGAAGGTTCTGTCCTGAAGTATCTCAAAATGTGCTGAACTTTCTAGCTAATTAATGACAGCACCCATTCATCCCAAGGCCAGGCACTGACAGTTCAACTCACTAGAATTCTTTCTGGAGAAGACCCAGAATTTTCAAAAACTGTACTTGCTACAAACTCCATGCACAAAAACTCTTCTTTCCAAATGGTTCTTAAAATATGTCCAGTTGACTTTATCAGGATATAAATAGTTGGAGTGTGTTTTTTCTTCACCGTAAAATATTGACAACAAGGTCCATTTCTAGTGACCTGTGTTTGAATCCTTTGGATACAAGGTCCTGGAAAGTCTTTATCATGAAGCTGGCTAATGGCCTTTCTGTCACACTGGCACACTCATAGATTCCCCTCTGTTCTGTTAGCAGCTTCCACTTCCAAGTCAACCAAGAATATTCATGACATGTTTTCATTCTTCAACAAAGAACACAGTATTTCTAAATAGGTCAAGAGAGGTGAATGCTTTTAGCAGGTTCTAGGACAAAGTGTCTTGTATAACATCACTTTGGTTTTTGTTAAGGGTCACTTTTGTTCTGAAGCAAACAAAAAGTGTTACTCTAAATGATTTAGGGAGAGAGTTTAGGCAGAAGGAGGAAAAAGATTACTGATTTTTGGTTATATTGAAATATCTCTTAACTATGCTCTCTTTTTCTTCACAATTTCTATCCAAAATACTCTCAGAATTCTCTTCTTAAAAGAGATCTGGTTATTTCTTGCTCAAAAACACCTGATGGTTTCTCACTACATACAAAACAAACTCTTTTGTTCAGCAATGGAAACTGCCACAACCTGGCCTCTGCTAAAATCAAATTTCTGTCACTTCATATTTAATCCCTACTGTTATCTTATGAAGTAGTGCTATAGTGAAGTCCATTTGGAAGACAAAACTAAAGTCAGACTTGCAAGGTCAATTCAAAATACACGATACAAAAATTTCAAATGTAAAATCCAACTCTTAAGGAGTTAATTCCCAAAGGGTCAGTCACACAGTGGATCACAGTACAAAAATTATTCCCTTTTCAATCCTTTTTCAATTTTCCTATCCTGAAGATAGCAAACTAAATGATTAAGGTTGATTTCTAGAGCCCATTGCCTGAAATTCATATTGTTAGACCACTTCTCAGTGGTCTTCTATTTGGAATGCCCTTCACTCCATGACATCCTGCTAATGTTTTTAACAAAGTTTCACAACAGTGCTATATGTGACAAAACCAATCTTCAAAACTCAATTCAGGGACTACTTCTCACAAGGAGCATCCCTAAATCTTTTTCTTTCTTTGCCCATTATAACTATTTTCTCTTTTTTTCCTTCTTCCCCATTTGTTCCTTTACCAATACATTTTATTTCTAATCTTACTATAATAATTACTGTTCTGCCACACATGAGTGCTATTTCTCAAGCTCTAGAGGAGGAAGCTAGGGCTTGAGTTCAAATCAAATTGTCACAGATTAACTGACCTTGGACAATTTGACTTTGTCAAGCTTCAGTTTTCTTTTTGTAAAAAATGGGTAGGAATTAATAGAAAAAGGTGGTTGCTATAGTGACTATCATAAAGCCTGCACTAACTTTTTTTTTTTTCTTTCCTCCATGTGTGTGAAGGCCTTTCCCAATGGATTTCTTGGAACGCATTTTTGTATCCCTCAAATACTGGGCATGTAGGAGGGATTCAACATATGTTTGCCATAGTTAAAATGTTCCAGGTATAGAAACTTTCTAGTTTTGCTTCTTTTAATAGTGAACAGACACTATACTTTAAAAAGGAAAAATGGTTATAGGATATGCTTTAGTGAAGAATTTAAAAGAATAACAATTATGTTAGGAAAAAAAGAATGCAAGAACACATAGAATAAAATCCAATGGTTTTAAAGTTGAGATTTTTAAAAACTGTGCCTGTGTGCATTTTTTTTTTTWWAAAGAAGCCTATTTAAAAGAACTTCTGACATGTAGAAATAAAGGTACACAGGGCAGACTTTCTGGCCAGTACCCATATATTAACTAGTATATATTGGGGCATTCTTAGAAAATTATCTTCGTTGTGATTTGCATTTGATTTGTTAGTGGTAAATGGGCATGCACAATGAGTTCATAAGAATCACAAATGCATTCCTATTCTTTGCCCATTAGAACTATTCTGCATATTGTAAAACGAGGGGTTTGGGTAGGTGTGCAGGGATTTGTGAAGCATTTCTAAGATCTCAGCTGTCGTTATAAAAGACAACCACATCTGTGACGAGATTTACTTCTTTGGTCCCCGAGGGGCCGCAGCTCCGACCCCGCCACCTCGCAAGCCTGGGGTCCCTGAATGCTCCTACAAGCCATATTACCTGTAGGGACCAATGGCCCCTGGGGCTTTCGCGGTGCTGATCACCTTTCTGATCAATGACGACATTTCAGTCTTCTTTCTTAAGCCCCTCCGAGAGAAGATGCCCCTTCACCAGCCCTGCCTGATTCTCGCTCAACAACTGACCAGCCTGGGTCAGCGCCTGCCGGAGGGACCCGGGGAGCGCGCTCGCTAGGTATTCTGGGAACTGTAGTCTGCGCGCGACTCCACGCCACGTGGAGGGAGGAAGSGCCGGGCTGGCGCATGCGCCGTGCAGCTCGCTCACCGCGTAGGTCGCCTTTGAGGGGACTGTCGCAGAGGCTTGTCATTCTGACCCCAGGATCCCTCAGAACGTCGGGTAGGTAAGTCGTGAAGCATTGATTCCTGCTGCCAGGGAGCTCGAATCTGGGGGGAGTGTGTGTGGCTACCCCCAGCTCCGGCCCGGTTTCCTTCCCTCTCTCAGATTGCTGGTCTTTATTTCCTCTCTGCCTGCGCCCGGGACCCTTTTTCCCGGTTCCGAACCTTCTCGTGGTTCTGTTATTTCCCGGCATTGCCCCCGGTAGGTGGAAGATGTTCTGAGGATGAGTAGGCTTGCAGCCCTTCTGCCACCCTAAAGGATGGGTCATTCAGGGGACCATGCCGAGAGGCGTTGTAATTCTTCCCACCCCTCCCAAATTCCGGTCTCTGACTTTAAAGGGTCTCCTACGATCTGAACAAGGAATGGGATCTGACTGGGGAAAAAAAAGTTAGTGATCTTGCTTTGGCTAGTAGCCCAGAGCTGGTCTATGCACAGATCATACATTGTCAGAAGGAATGGTACTGGGCTAAATATCTCCCATCCTGTTAATATGTGTAATATAGCTACGCTCCACTTCTTCATTTATGAGTGCTTGTGTACATTAAATATATATACATTTATATACATTATACACACATATTAAGTAAYGTGCGTTAGTGTGATATATATGTCTCCCCTAATTTGTGCATGGCGGTCTGCTAAGTTCTGGGAATGCAATAGTTAAAAAAAGGTGAGGTCTCTGTCCTCCCTGCTTTCAAAATGTACTATAAGAAAATCCCTTTGTTTGGCCTACATACTGTTAAGGTTTTGCTTTCCTTCTGTCTCAGGAACCTTCAGATCTTTTTCATTGGTTTAGATCTCCAGCCTGGAATGATCTTCCAGCTCCAGCCTGGAATATATGATCTTTCAGTCTGTCCTTCTCTAGCCTATTTCTTCTCTGTCTTCCCACTCTAGTCATCTGAGTTCTCAATCCWATATTCACACAGAAGATTCCTGAATACTCCTTCTTCCCTAACTGCCCAAATTCCAACTAACTGAAATTCTGTGTTCTTACTGATTTTTTCTGCTGATACACATTTTTTCTTTCTCATTTCCAGTTTCCTGTTTTGCTATACTGCAAAATTTAACATTTTATTACATGTGATCTTATTTTCTAATTATTTTATGTTTGAATATGGTGACTAGAACCAGACTGCCTGATGCAGACTATCCTGAATTCCAGGACAATCATAAGCTTAGTGGATATGGGTGGAATAACTGCTTTGTGTTTCAATTTCCTCATTTACAAAATGAGATAACACAAGAACCTCTCATATAATTGTAATAATTAAATGAATAAGGCAGTGCCTGGCACAAAGTTCTCGATTAATGTTAGCTGCTTAAGATGACTAAATTCTTAAAGGAAAAAGATCACATCCTGATACTGGTATTACACATGACCTGAAACTATATTAGGCACATTGTAGGTACCCCAAATCTTGTTAATATTGATTAAACTGGATAATTAGGAAGTGATTCTTATTTATAAAACAATTCACTGCGGCTGTATCATGGCTCAGTGGTCAAGTGCTTGCCTAGCACTTGATTCTCAGCACCACATATAAACAAACAAATAAATAAATAAATAAAGGTACATCAATAATTAACAAATATTTTTAAAAGAAAAAAATTCATTGTATGATTCTTTAAATAAGGATCTCTTGGAGCATTACAAATAATTTGTGTAAAATATTACTTGTGAAACAAGGTACTTCGTTCTTATCAAGCAGGAATCACCAACTTTTTAGATCTGGAAGGAAAATGGAGATTAYCTTTTTTTCCTCCTAGGTTCTCAAACTGGAGTCCACTATACATAGCTGTATCTGTTCAACCAGATTCTAAGCTCTATGAGAAAACATGGCATATCCATTTTATTTGAAGATGTGGGGAAAGCATTTTTGTAAAACTGACATATTTAATATTCATTAAAGTTTTGACTGAATGAACATGAGAAAGAAGGAAAAAGAAATGAATGAACATGAAAACAAATTATGAATACTAGGAATAGATATAAAATCCACTTGAATGTTATAAGTGGGCTGGGTTTGTAGCTCAGTGGTAGAGCGCTTGCCTAGCATGTGTGAGACACTGAGTTCAATTCTCAGTACCACATATAAATAAATAAAGGCCCATCAACAACTAAAAAAATGTGAAGAAAAAAGATTCCTTCTGGTGGGGCTGTGGCTGTGGCTCAGTGGTAAAGTGCTTGCCTAGCATATGTGAGGCACTGGGTTTAATCCTCAGCACCACATAAAAATAAATAAATAAATAAAATAAAGATATTCTGTTCATCTACAGCTTAAATAAAAATAAAGATTCCTTCTGGAAACTGTTTTAAGTGAAATCTCAGATCTCAAAGGATACATTCCTTATTCATTCTTTATTCATAACCCAACCCAAAGAACTGTTTGAGGACTGCTGCTAGCTCAGTATGCTCATTTTTTAAGTCTAGAACCAAAGTTCAGAGATGTGGTATCCCAAGGTTACCCTAATATYCCAACACCAGCCTTCCTTTGGCTCATTCTAATCCTAAGCTAGGGATCCTAAGGTCGTGTGCTTTGTCTTCTTGGGTTAGTTTTGATTCAAGTAGGTAACGTTGGTGGACYAAATTGTTTGGTAAACTATTTTGAATTGTTCTTAATACAAACTACTCTAAATCATGTGTTTCATTAGCCAACCAGTTATGCAGAACTCTACATTCTACATATTGTTTAATTTTTAAAAATATTTCAGGGGGCTGGGGATGTGGCTCAAGCGGTAGCGTGCTTGCCTGGCGTGCGTGCKGCCCGGGTTCGATCCTCAGCACCACATACAAACAAAGATGTTGTGTCCGCCGAGAACTAGAAAATAAAATGTTAAAAATTAAAGAAAAAATAAAAAATAAAAATATTTCAGAGTGTAGATATATTATTTGAGAATAATAGTACCTGTAAACTGATCATTTAGTTTGTACAAAGCCCTATGCTAAGTGAGTTATGTATATGTATTTTGTAAAGCCAGTACTTATGTATATGTAATTATTTAATTCTCACAACTACCTTGTGATAATTGCCATTTGTAGAGGAGGAGATTGAGGCTCAAAGAAGAAAAATAATTTTCCTAAGATTATATAACCAAAAAAGTGTTAAGAAGGTATTTGAATCCAGATCTTTCTAACTCTAAAGTGAAGGTTTCTAAACACTATACCACTCTTTAAAAATTAACTCTTAATTTTTTACGTGTATTGCACTGGAAAAGGAGCTAAGTGAATGGGTGGTAGCTAATTAAGTGGCTCTCTATGGAAGTGGTACAAATCCTGATGTGGGATTTTGGAAGTTAGTACGATATTTTGATTAGCATAATGATTGGGGTAACACTCCTGGCATTTGTAGGCCAGGGGCAGGAATGTTAGATACCCTGTGTATGCAGAAAAGCCCCAAAGTAACCCAAAGCCAAAGTCTGTTTTATGTAAAAGTATTGGTTGCACAGTTTTAATGTATACTGAATTTTGTAGGGATGAAATAAGTCAAAGCCATGTTGTATTTTTTTTTTTTTTTTTTTTTAAGGAGGGATTCTTTACCAAGGAGTGTTTACCGGCTTGAAAAATTATATCACCAGTGGCACTGTTCTTTTTGAGGCACAAGTAGAACACATGTGGATTGTTCTGCCACTGTTGCCACTGTAGCTGTTGCCTCCATGGTCATTCTATATATAGGTAGAAATAGTATTAGAATATTTAAATGCATTGAAAACAGCTTGGTAAGTGTCTGCACTCTGAGATTCCCTACCTCCTGGTGTTACCTGCAGGGCCTTTCGGACTTCTTTACAGTGAGCAAGGAAAGAGTTAATAACTTGCTTGGGGTGGGAGCTTCCAGGACCCTTCTCCAGCTTTATGGCTTGTATCAGTGCCTGTGCTGACAGTGTCTGTGATTGTTCTGTGGGTTCAAAATGTCTATTTCATAATGTCATCTAGTAGTGAAATAGTTACATACAGAAATGCATATTGTTTTATTAAAATTACTTTTTAGCTCTTTGTTACAGTTGGGGCATGTATTGCAGGGTATGTGTTGGTAATAGTTATGTCACCAATAGGTTATTATTAGTGATTTTTATTTCAAAATAAAAAGCAAGTGTTTCAGACTGAATCAGTGAAAAAAGGGACCTGTTGTGTTTGAGAGAACCACTCTCAAAAGGGACCTTTTGTGTTTGAGGAACCACTGAGTGAATCTGTCAGGCTCTACTAGGCTTTTATCCTTTGTCCTTTTTATTTCAAGTTGAAATCATTATCTATTGCTATTGTAGATTAAACATATAGTTAGTGTTGTCTCAGCAATAAAACTGAAAACATCAATAACCTATGTTCAGTTTGAAGTAGAGTGTTCTAAATTTCATTGATTTGGGTGACTCTTATTTCATCTAAGAATCAATATGAAATGTTTTAAGTAATTTCAGTTTTTTATCATGCATAGTGATCTCATCTGCTGTTTTATTCTTTCAACAAACTTTATGCAGTGTCAATATTTATGTAAGATTTAATTACTTGGCAACCTAGACTGGAATGTTCCAATAGGGAATCTTCCATCAATAAACTTATTTTTTTTCTTTTGAAACAAGTTTTTGATGTTAAAGCCATTTACAGCCTCCTTTAAATTTCCCTGCTGTAGATCAATATGGTCTCATCAGTCTAACCATAGTAAATGAAGGCATTATATTGAAGAATCCAATTTTGTGTTACATAAATATTTGTTGAATTTATTATTTTTGAAGGGGAGTTTCCCTCTTGTACTAAATGTATCACTTCCATTCCAGAAATGTCTAATGCAAAAGAAAGAAAATATGCTAAGAAAATGAGAAACCAGCCCACTAATGTGACTTTATCCTCTGGCTTTGTGGCTGATAGAGGTGTAAAGCTCCATAATGGAGGAGGAAAACCTTTCCAAGCTCAACAGCAAGGTAAGATGACATGAAGTTCTCTCTACTTCCATTTAGAGTGAATTTTGCCAGTTCTTTTGATAGTCATTACCTAAATAGTAAATGGACTGAAATAAAACTAGATACAACAGACTCTCAGTATTCTCAAATTTCGTATTGGCAAATCTGCCAAGTTGGTGAAATGTATTTGTAACCCTCAAATCGACATTTATAGAGCTTTGGCCATTATTTTGGACATGCACAGAACAGGAAGAAATTCAAGTTGCCCTATGTATAAGTTCCCAGGTGTCTACTTGTCAGTTCTCTGAGATGGAGCTCTGCCTGTAGTTTGAATTTCACTTGTGGGGTGGCCTCATGCAAGCCACTTAACCCTTTTGAACTTCATTTTCTCTTTTGTAGAAGAAAAGAAATAGAATCTACCAGAATGAGTTGTTTTTAGCATTTAAAATTATATCTTCTGTCTGTCATCTATCTGTTCCCCCTAGGAACAGTGGTTCAGTATTCACTAATTCAGTGTTCACTGTGACTTTATAGAACATGACTACTATAGTATGACTATGCATGTTTTAAAGCTGATATATTTTATTAYTGCATTAATTTATTGTTATTTATACTTCTGTGTTTCCTAAGAGAAATAGGGTACATCTTCATATCTGTATTTAAGTTGTGTGCTGATTTTAGAACCTTATGAAGTGATAGGAAGGTGATAGTTGTTCATGGGAAGAGCAGTAGAAAATGCTATCTTGGGAAGACAGCAAAGCCAGTGCTTTTAAATAAATTTTTGGTTAAATAAATTTTAGATCTAAATTCACAAAATCTAGATTCAGATTCAGTAGTTGAGGACTGCCATAGCAGGTGACAAGCTTTTTGTGCATATTATTTCAGTTAAAACTCAGAATGACAAACCATGTACGTATTCAAGATTACATGATGTACTAATTCACACCACAGTGGAAATAAATACAACTCTCCACCAAGCCCTCTCTCTGTTCACAGACAGATGTCTAATGTTATGTTAAAGGCAGAATGGTTCAAATACCCTGTCATTTGTGTAGGGACTTTACTTTGCATTCTTTCTGTAATGGCTTCTGGGTTGAGTGTGCCAGATAATTAGTATAAGACCGAATGCACAATTAAAGGGAGCATCATTCAGGTTGCTATATAACAGAATATCATAAACTAAGTAGCTTCTAAATAACAGATTTATTTCTCACAGTTTTAGAGGCCAAGAAGCCCAAGATCAAGCAGTAATTCAGTGTCTGTTGAGGGTCCTGTGTCTGGTTCCTAGATGGCACCTTCTCCTGGTGTCCTCATGTAGTGGAGGGGTGAAGGGTCTCTCTGGAGCCTCTGTTGTAAGGACACTAATCTCATTTGTGACGACTCTGTTCCCATGATGTAATCATCCTCCAGAGGCCATACCTCTTAATAGCATTACCTTCATGACTTTAACATGTGGATTTCAGGGGACATAGCATTTAGACCATAGCAAGGAGACTAGTTGAAAGTGCATGTTGTACTGTAAATACTCAGTGAAGAAAATTTTCTTGTATCTGTTATGTTCAAAGTTTTCATCATTCTGACATGATTTTCTGCTGTGCTGCCTGCTAGCTTTCTGACCTTGACAAGTTATTTGACTTCCCTGCTTAAGTCCCTCCTTTTAAAAAAGAAATAGTAGGGAATTGCATGGATGGTGGAAGGAGAATCTCGTTGTTATACAAAATACATGTATGAAGATGTGAGAGAAAAAAAGAATAGCGTTACCCTAGATTAGGCAGAGAGAAGTGATGGGAGGGGAGGGAGGGGTTAGGGAGATAGGAAGGATAATAGAATGAAGCAGACATTATTACTGTGTGTATATATGTGAATGCATGACCAATTTGATTCTGCAACCTGTATACTCAGAAAAATGAGAAATTATATCCCATCWGATTCAAATGTATGATATGTCAAGGTCATTGTACTGTCATGTGTAACTAATTAAAACAAATTWAAAAAAAAAGAAATAGTTATAATCACTTTATAAGGTGGTTGTCCTCAACAGGTGTTACTTCTACACTGTAATGCTTATCCTTGGTAAGAGTGACATATTTCTTTTTGTTTTCTTTTTGAAAATATTCTAGAGCTTCATTCTGGAACTTCACAACAGCGGCAAACCAAGATGACCCCTCATTCACTGCCTGAGCCTAGTGTGAATGAGCAGTCTTCCTCCAAAATCATGTTTAAAAAAAAGGGAGGCTGGAAAGCAGGTCTTGATGGCACTTCCCAAGAGATCCCCAAGTATATAACCGGTGGGTATTGAAGGAAGTACAATCTGGTTGTGTTGGGAGCTCATTGTTTCTACTGCCGCAGTTATGCCAGCACATTGCCCTCTGCCCTCTGCCCTCTGCCCTCTGCACTGCCTTGGCTGCCTCCCTCGCCTCTCTCCTCTGTTGTACCCACTTGGGCCCTTCTCACCTCCAGTCTGGACTTAGGCACAACATCCTTAGGCCTGATGGTTCTCCCGCCTTCATTTTCTGTCCTTTTTCTTACCTATTTTATAAGTCTTTATTTGTGAACTGTTAACTCCTGTAAATGTGCAGTCCACACTCTTMAGCATGGCATTCTTTAAAATGGAACCAAATTTAATATACCTAGACTGTATTTAAAGGCCTATCACCAGCCCTTTCCAATTGTCTCTTTATCACCTCCATCTCCATTACCATATAAATCCTTTATTCCTTGCACATACTTGGTCTGTCCATGCCTTCTTGAATTAATTCACTTGAATTTCTCTAGCACCCTGTTTACTCTTCAAAAAAAAAAAAAAATCACAATAAAGAAAACCAATATTTGTTACATTTGGAACAAGCAGTAAAAATATTAAGAAAGAACATCTTGAGTCAAAACCTCTGTTAAAATTTTGGTTTTTCCCCCCTTTGTTTTCTTGTGTGATTATTGCACTTAAGGATGATTGTGAAACTGAGTATGGTGGCATGCTACTGGGGAGGCTGAGGCAGGAGGATCTCTTGAACCCAGGAGTTCAAAGCCAGCCTGGTCAACTTAGCAAGACCTGTCTTTAAAAATAAAAGCTCCAACAAAAATGGTTGTGATTATATTACACACATACACACCCATACTACATGTAGATTCCTATTTTAAAAAATTCTTGTAGGACTGAGGTTTGGCTCAGTGGTAGTGCGCTTGCTTAGCATGCATGAGGCAGTGGTTTTGAGCTTCAGCACCACATGAAGATAAGTAAAATAAAGATATTGTGTCCATCTACAACAACAAAAACATATTTTAAAAAATTCCTTGTTAAGTTTTTTTTAAACTCTTTTTTTCTGACTGAAAAAGTAAAACTGAGTTATAATGGAAGACTTGAAAAGTGTAAAAGTTGAAGAAGAATCTCTCACAGTGATTTAACAGAATAACCACTGACATTGATTGAGTCAGATATGTGGTCAGAGTAGTCAGTGAGCTGAAAGTACACATTCCTCAACCTGTCTTCTTTTGAAACCCACCAGAAAAGGTGCAGATTCAAGGCTTGTTTTCAATGACATTTTTTCCTTTGACAGCTTCTACTTTTGCTCAAGCACGAGCTGCTGAAATCAGTGCCATGTTAAAAGCTGTGACCCAGAAGTCATCTAATTCGCTGGTTTTCCAGACTCTGCCACGACACATGAGACGAAGAGCCATGAGCCACAACGTCAAACGCCTCCCTAGACGGTTACAGGAGATGGCCCAGAAAGAGGTAAATATTTAGGTCAGTGCTTTAGGTTAGTAGTTTCTGAAAGAACTCGAGATGTAGTAGCCTAAAATAATTTGTTAGGGCTGGGTTGTAGCTCAGTGGTAGAGCACTTGCCTCACATATATGAGGCACCACATAAAAATAAATAAATAAATAAAATAAAGGTATTGTGTCCATCTACAACTAAAAATACAATATAAAGAAAATAATTTATTAAAAGGAAAACCAGAATACATCATATTCATTATGGCATCCTTTTTTTACTTGCATATTTTTGGTTTAATCTTTTCCTAGCCTTCTCTACCCTCCTGTGCCAAATTAGAGGCAATTGGGTACTATAGATGCTTTTATAATGTAGCATTTGGAACCTGTCTTTTTAATTACTGTTAAAATTGTTGAGGTTTGCCTTCTAGATTTAAATTTTTTTTTTTAAAAGGTACCATCATCTGTTTGCCATTTAATATTTCAAAGTTAAAAACTTAAACTTGGTTTTTTTGTACTTGGAATTGAACCCAGAGGCACTTTACCATTGAGCTAACTCTCTAGCCTTTTTTTTTTTTTCCCTTAATATTTTTTTAGTTGTAGATGGACACAATACCTTTATTTATTTTTATGTGGTGCTGAGGATTGAACCCAGTGCCTAACACGTGTGAGTGGCAAGTACTTACCACTGAGCTACAGCCCCAGCCCTAGTGTCTAGCCTTTTTAAAATTTTTTGTTTCAAGACAGAGTCTCATTAACTTGTGTAGGGCCTCACTAAATTGCTGAGGCTGGTCTTGAACTTATGATCCTCCTGTCTTAGCCTCCCAAGTCTCTGGGATTACAGGCATGTGCCATTGCACCTAGCATGAATTTGGTTTTAATTTTGGTACAAATCTGATTGTGTTTTGGCTTCACCAGGATTCTGGATTTGAACATTGTTAAGATTGTTTAAGCTGCTCATGTCTTTACCAGTCAATTCCAGATTTAGTTTATTTAGTTTGTTTGTTTAGTGGTCTTTTATGTATTGGTGTTCTCCTGGTGCTGGGATTATAGTTCAACAAACTGAAGTTTTGAACTATAAGTTCTTATCCTTAATGGGATCACAAACTAAAAGAGAATTGTTTTTCCTGGAAGTTTAGCTTGACTATAGAAGAGATTTAAGAGTAAAAACTAACCAGTAATTTTGTACTTTCTGAATTTAACGTAAGGTCTCTTTCCTAGTGATAGCACTTAGTGTTTGTTAGTAGCCTAACTGAATTAAATGAGTGGATTTTCCCCACTTGGTAGTTTTGGTCTTAAACTTTTGGTTTTAGTTACAATCATACAGGTTAAAACAACAACAACAAAATCAATGAGCTAGCATTTGATTTATTCTTTTTTCTCTCTATTAATAGCCATATTAGGCTTATGTTGCTATGTTGAACCTATTATAAGTACTTTTATCTTCATAGTCCACGAAGGTTGTACAATTAGTGAGCACTAGAGCTATGCCTGTCTCTAAAACTCTTATTCTTCCCATGGTGTCCATTCTCTACCTACTGAGTTATTAAGTTATTAAGCAAATGAATAGGGTCTGTAAGGTACTCTACAGCTTAATCTAAAGTTAGTTGTTTGAATTCCTAACATTTAATTTGGTTCTGAAGTGCTTACAAAGTAGGATTTGCCTCTCTTCTTGAACCTATAGGCAGAGAAAGCTGTACATCAGAAAAAAGAACATTCCAAAAATAAATGCCATAAGGCTCGAAGATGTCATATAAACCGAATACAAGAATTTAACCGTAGACAAAAGAAGAACATATGGTTGGAAACTCACATCTGGCATGCCAAACGGTTTCACATGGTCAAGAAGTGGGGCTACTGCCTTGGAGAGAGGCCGACAGTCAAGAGCCACAGAGCCTGCTATCGAGCCATGACAAACCTTTGTCTCCTCCAGGTATACTTTTCCAGTGRGGTTTCTTTCTATTTTTGTTTAGTCCCTTTATGATGATGAGTTTTTGTTCTGTTTTGTTTTTTGGTACCAGGGATTGAACCCAGGGGCACTTAACCATCAAGTTACATCCCCAGCCCTTTTTTATTATTATTTTAAAATTTTGATAAAGAGTCTTGCAAAGTGGCTTAGGGCCTTGCTAATTTGCTGAGGCTGGCTTTGAACTTGTGATCTCCTGCCTCAGCCTCCCGAGCCACTGGGATTATAGATGTGTGCCACTGTGCTCACCACAAGGTTGACTTTTTGATTAATTCATGTTATGCCAAGTCCTATATGTGAAGTTGCCCACCTTAAAAATGATTACTCAGGTGCTTCGCTGGGTGCTAGAGATAAATAGTCTTAGTAAGTCTATAGTATAAGATAAGCCATACTGAGCCATAACCCCAACCCCTGGGGCAGATTTTTTTTAGCAGGGTGGTGGGTAGAGACAGAATCTTTGATTGAAGTTATCAAATATTTTCTAAACATTTGATCAGTCCTAAATAATAAAAGTGATAGCTAATAATAATAATAAATACTTTTGAGTACTTAATATATGTCCAGCTCTGTTTTAAATTATTTACATGTGTGTTTATTTGATTCTTACAACAACAAACAGCACAAGGGAGATAGTTACCATTATTTCCATTTTACAGATGAGGAAACTTAAGGTACACAAAGGTGAGGTAATTTATTCCCAAGCAGACAATGAGTGATCAAGTTGAACTTTGAGCCCAGGTTGTCAGACTTCAGTGTTCCACCATTATTCTGTGCTGTCACCCAGTTATACAAATTCTGATGAGATTCCTCTTGGCCACTGTTAACTGAGAGCAAGGGACTATTGGTAGGAAGATTTCTATGTGTTAGTGATGGCATCAATTGGTCAGAATTTGCCAGAATCACAGCTGTAATTCACCTTTTAGGGTCAGTTGATGAGTGTATGGAAATTGCTAACGGTGTTGTGGCAGAGGGCTTGATGAGGGTCAAAACTGAAGATGGGATAAATTACTTGTAATGATGTGTCTCTAGACTCAGTGTTATATAATCTTGAGGTCCTGCGTTAGCTAACCRGAGTAAGAAACCTTAGCTTAATTTTGCAGTTTATTGCTGTCTTGCTTATTCTAGTTTATTACCTTATATAGATTTGGGGGATGAAGAATTTTTACTTAGAAGTAGTAGTTTGAACCACTTTGAACTTGCTTAATATTATGGGATAAAACAGATTTGCTTACTAAAAAGTAGGACATAGTAACTTGCATTTTAAATGGAGATTCACTTTGATTTCGATTGGTTTAAGAATATTTGCTAATGGAATAGGAATGGCAGGTTTCAGTTTTTGACTTATTAGAAAGCTAGCTTTGGTAATTTTTTCTGTCTCTTGGACCTCTAGAGGTTTTCTGATGTAGCTTTTGGCTTCTCGGCAGTTCTGCCCCATGTAAATTCTAAGGAATTTAATTGTGTTTCTCCCTGTGTGCAGGATTTATCCTACTATTGTTGTTTGGAGCTGAAGGGCAAAGAGGAAGAAATACTAAAGGCAGTTTCTCAAATGTGTAACTTAGACACAGGTAATCTTGTTTCAAATCTGGATCGCATTTTAGTCTTAGATACCTATTCATTTCAYGAACTGAGTGTCTACTGTAAGCATTTTAGAATTTAAACATATATAAAAAATGTGGGAGGTAGTTCCCGGTCCCAATAAGTATGTTATTTAAGAAAAGTTGGGGTGGCATTTAAATTTTTTATAACATTGTTAAGTATAAAGTGAGTTATGATTCTGTGGAATGAACTTAGGAAACAACTTGAAACTCTTAATAATATTCATTTAATAAATATTTACTGAGAACTTAGGTACCAGGCTTTCATCTAAGCCATGATCCAAACCAAAACTTTTTCCCTCCTGGACAGACAATAAGTAACAGTGGCTAGGCGAGGGTGATGCCGCAGTACCAACACTCGAAATCACTGTCCTTTGCTTGTGTTTATGTCAGGATTGACATTTGCAGCAGTTCACTGCTTGTCTGGAAAGYGCCAAGGGAGCCTCATGCTTTATCGAGCAAATAAGTATCCCAGAGAAATGCTTGGACCTGTTACATTTATTTGGAAGTCTGAGAGGACCCCTGGAGACAGTTCTGAAAGCAGGCAGTTGTGGATCTGGCTTCATCCAACTCTTAAGCAGGTATAATCCTTTAAATAATTTCCCCATCATTCTGTCATTACATTTTAAATTACCATTGGATGTCAATAGTACAGAAATTTAAATAGTACACAAGKTTGACTGATAGTTTGGTAGTAGCATATAGTGGGGAAAGGTACATGCATTCTGGATAAAGCAAATTTATTTTTATTTTTTATTAAAAAATTTTTTACTTAAAAACATTGAACTGACAAGTAAAGTGTAGATGTTCAAGGTATACAGAGCGATGTTTTGATATGCTGTATAAAGATTACCACAATCAAATTAATTAAAATACCCATCATCACTCATGCTATACATTAGACCCCCAGCACTTGTCTATCTTAGAAAAGGCAAATCATGACCTCTCATGCAGTAAATCATAAGCAGAATTAGAGATGAAAACCAACCTTACTATGCTGAAGATATGAGATGCTGCATTTGGACTAATGTGTCCACCTGCTTGCATTGATTCTCAGAGACCTCACTGCTTGTGAGAGCCTATTTGATAATGAGAAACTATTTCCAGTAATTCTGATGATTTTTAACTCTTCTTTTAGCTTAGCTTCCCCCCCTCTTTTTTTTTAGCATTCTCACCGCTTTTATATCATACACTGTAAAMATTTCCCATTTTTTTCCTTTAAACTTTAAAAAATTTTATGATAGTGGTTATGTTGTTTTCATAATATTTGGCATTTCTTTTTTCTTGTTCAAAAAAGCAAAAAGATTTTTTGATGATGATAAATTTGCTTTGGTTTGTGAAGGGATGAAAATGTGAAAATTTTAAAGGATAAAGAATAAACTAAACCAATAGAATTTGTATACTATATTTAAATTTCAAAATTTAAAGTAAATGTTTACATCCTTAGGATATCTTAGAGGAAATAAAAACAGTATGCCAGTGCATGGAACCCATCAAATCAAATATCTGTAYTCCTAACCCACTTCTGAAACCATCCCAAGAAGAAAGTCAAATTGAACTGGCTGATGAGAAAATTGGCAAGAAGAGAAAAAGGAAAGATGATATAGAAAATGCTAAATCAGTTAAAAAAGTTATTGGTGATGGAACTAGAGATCCATGTGAGCCATATTCTTGGATCTCTCCAACCACAGGTATTGTGATCAGGTATGAGTTGAATTCACTGTGAACCTCCTGAACTTTTTCAGTAAAGATTCACCCCATTTTTGCCAGTGGCACAGACTGGCATGATGGAAGTTTCCATTTCAAGATCTTTTCTCTCTTGCAGTGATTTGACCATGGAGATGAACAGATTCCGGCTGATTGGTCCCCTTTCTCACTGTATCCTAACTGAGGCCCTGAAAGTTGCTTCTGTGCACATTGTAAGAGTAAATGTGACTGTTATGTTTTTCCTGGCAAATTTGTGAAATCTAATATATAGTCTCAAAACATCTTGGGCTGTGGCTTTTAAACATTCATTTCATTGGTTTTTTTTGGATGGATTGAACCCAGGGACACTCTGCCACGGAGCTACATCCCCAGCCTTTTTATTTTGAGAAAAGGTCTCATTAAGTTGCCCAGGATGACTTTGAACCAAGGGATTCTCTTATCTTAGCCTCTTAAGAGGCTACATAACAGGCATGTGCTACTGTGCCTGGATATTTCCCTTCTTATTATCAAAGGTTTTTTTTTTTTTTTTAATCTTTTATTTCTAAAAGACCAAATCTAATTGATGTGATAGTAAACTGACTTCTTTTTTACATACTGACTATTCTCCCAGCTGTCTTGTAGAAGGATCTTAAACTCTGCTCTATGGGTGGGTAATAGGGCATCTCTAAAAATCCCTGAAATTGTATGCCAGTTTTTAAGTGTTTGACTTGAGTGATGCATATTTCCTGGGGTCAGTTTCTCTGATTCTCAGAAAGTTTAATGTAATAACCTTTCTTTGGATAGAACTTTCTGTGGAAGGTTTGTGCTTTCCAGTATTATTGCCAGAGCCATATAAGGCTGTTGAACACAAGAATTGTGACTCAAGTGACTGAGGGACTGAATCTGTACTTTATTTAATTTTAATTAATAATTAATTTTAAGTGGCTTTTTGCAGCTCATGGCTGTAGTGTTGGACAGTATAGGTCTGGGGCATGGAAACTAGATAAGGAATTTATTCACTTCTTATTGCTTCCTGGTTAAAAGTTCTTCAGTAGCTTCTCATCATATTAAAGGTGAAATCCAAAGTTCTAAATGTGACCTGCATAATCTTGGGCTTTCTTGCTTCTATGGCCTCACCTGCCCTCAGCTTCTGCACTTGGGCCATGCTGGCCTTTCAGGTTCTAGAATGTGTCACTTCTCATCTCCTTCAAGGCCTTTGCACCTGTTTTTTTTTTTCCTGCCTGCTGAACATTTTTGCCTCCATCACTCTGCTTGGATAAACCTTCCTCATTCTTCAAGAGTCAGTTGTCCCATTCAGTTTGTATCATTTCCCTTTGTAATCCTTTCCTGATTCCTCAAGTTAAATTATATCCCTTTTCTTTTCATAGCATCTTGTGTATTTCCTTAGTTTATCTGCTCAGGTGTGTTTGTGTATGTATGTAACATCTGTTTCTCTATTAGAGTAAGCTTCATGATAGCAAGGGCAGGCTGGTCCTGTTATTAGTCTGTCCTAGGTGCTTAGCATAGTGCCCAGATGGAGAAGGTGCTCCATGGTAGCTAATAAGTTTTGGAGTGGAACTTTGAATCTAAAAAGTGTGGTTCTAGAGCCTGTACTCCAGACTGCTCAGCTTTGTTACCTGAGTTCTGTGAAGTGAATGGTGCCTGTCTTATAAGTGGCTTCTGTAGGATCTGTAGGAACATGTCCTCTTCAGTGAACCTCCAAATGAATCACAGACAGTGGTTCTCCTAGCATGCACCCATGAGACAGCATGCTGTTTGAAACCTTGCTCATTTCTTTGTTCTCTTTAGGAAAGTGAGGTGCTTGTGCATTTTATCAACATTTCTAAGAATACTGCTGTAGTAATATATCTTTACTCGAAGATGACATCTACAGGTACAGATTTGGTTTTCATTTGATGAGGAATGTGTTTTTCTTAAGTTGGAGGTAATGAAGGTGATGATAAGAGAAGAGGACAAGGCCTCTTGTTGGAATTTGCTCAAGAGAGACTGGGAGTGTAAAGTAGCTTAGGTAGGCAGTGTCTCTGAAAATCATGGCTATATTTTCTAGTATGTGAAATTCTGAGAGAAGTGTTAATACCATGACCATGCTCCTAATTAGAAGAGTACTTAGTCTGGTAGTAATTACTTTTTGAAAAACAGTGGCAACTTGCCTGCTACCCTTCATGAAATAGTCATTCCCACACACAGAAACAAAAGGGGCAGGGACTGATACCATAATCATAACAAAATTATTAAGTCTGATTCATTATGCATCTGGTGAAGAGAATGTGTTGTTTTTCAGGGGGAAGCAGATACAGGGGAGACGCCTCACCTTTGGTGGAGTGATACGTGTAAAAACCCTGATAATGTTTCCCTTCATCACAGACAAGAAGCTGTTTTTGAATTGTTGGGAGGTATGTGGAGGAAATGCTGGGTTGTACCAGGAGGAAGGGAGGCACGGCATGTGGTTTAGGAGAGCATATTGCAGCTGGGTGTCTGATGAGTGGTCTTATTTATCTTGCTGCTGTTAGTGATATAGCAAGAGAAGCAAGTAGAGAAGGTGCCTGAACTCAACAAAGAGAGCACGGCAATCACCAAACAATAAGCCCATGAGATATTAGTATTCTAAATAACTGGCATTCTGATATTATAAATAAATGCATATGTCAGGTTGTGACCAAAAATCCTTAGTTACTGCTCATGTTTAGTTGTGGTCATAGCTGTTACAGCTGAGAGAAGCCTATGTGTTCATGTTATAAAATAACCTTTTTTATGTTTGTTGAATTTTTTTTTTTTTTTTGCAAGAAACCCCCTTTTTTTTAAAAAAAGGTTATTCTCTAAAATTATCAATTGGGGGGGGGCGGGAATACATGTTTTTAAAATAATTAGTCCAAAAAAAGTTTTGTTCGAAAATTTGAAAGATTTGAAAATACAAGCATATATGTTTGTATTGTGAATTACCCTCTATAAGCTTGCTTTTTTGCTTGTTTACTTTGTTTTTGTTTGTTTAAAGGAATAACATCACCGGCAGAARTTCCGGCAGGTACTATTCTGGGATTGACAGTTGGGGATCCACGAATAAATTTGCCTCCAAAGCGATCYAGAGCTTTGTCCAATCCAGAAAAATGCCAAGGTAAAGTGCTTGCAATACCCCTGGTTTCCCTCATTTTGTTAAGCACAGTCCAGTCCTGTTAACAATTCTGTGTTAAAAAATCGGGGATCTTTACCTTCCTCTGCTATGAGGCAGTTATGATCAGAGGACATGGGAGTGTGTCTTTCAGCTGTAAACCATGGAGCTTGTGTTCATTTTAAATTTTTTTCTGAGTTCTCTATTTTTTAGTATCTAGTAAAACCTGTCTGCAAACTGAATTCTCTGAAATGCCYGGTGTTTCAGAATTTTAATTGTGAGGAAGGGATCTGCACCCGCAGCTGGTCTTGTGCTCAGTGGAAGCCTCTGTTTGACCATACAGATGATCCAGGTTCGAATCCTGGCAAGGCCATCCCAGGTGCTGAAGTATCAGATTTCTTGTATTGATTGATTAGAGATGCCTGAAGAAGCTCATTGGCTGGGGGAGGGAGTAGGTGTATGAGTGGGGCTTGCTAAAATTTTAGTCTAATCTGGGATTTGCAGCAGTTGTGATAATGTCTTCTTGTATTTACTATCATTTAAACACCATTAATTGGAAGAATAATTAAAATTAGCTTGTGAATTTTGGGAGAAAAATGCAGATGTGTTCATAACAACTTCAGTTTTTTTTTTTTTTTTAAATCTTTTCACATGTAGTTAGATAGCTTACTAAGGGTAATAAACTCCCTGTCAGAACTTCACATAAAAGGTGGATAGCATGAGAGTGGAGTTTAAAGATGCATAGGTAAGTTAGTTAATTATGGGGCCTAAGACTTTAATCAGTGAGTCACAGTCTTTGTTTTTTTAATACCAATGTGCTCTAGTRCAACAATAAAAACTATTGCATCTACTGTGCTATTAAATGCTATCATAACCACCTGAGCTTTACTTCGTTTCTCTTGCTACTTCAAAATTCTTTTTTGGAATGAGGCAGTCCTACATTAAAACCTTCCTAAGGCTTTTATCTTAATATGAATTAGTTTCAGGAATATTAAAGTCTGCCTTGAGACATGATTTAATTTCCACTATAAAAGCTAACCATCTAGTTAGTGGCATTCCATTAGAACCTGTATTAAGTACTATAATTCCTTTGAAGATATATGAACTACATAAAGAAGTAGACTTTTTAAAGGTTTAGTATTATATCAATATTATTAATAAGTGTATCATCTCATTTAGGAAAACAAGTCTAAACAAGGGGTAGAAGTATATTTTGGTAGGCTGGGTAAACTAAAAAAATCAATCCTTGTAGAGTCTTAATTTTAATTCTCTGATACAGTTTCAGTCTGTCTGTATATCTGCCTATTTTGACGTAGATCAAAAAGATCAGTTCTGGTGAAGATCAGTTCTGGTGTGACTTGAACCATAAAGAAGGTGTTGCCTGCTTTGAATAACAAATGATTTTCTTGTGTGAATTGTGTATTGTGTAAGTTAGAGAGCTTTTCAAGAGAAGGTACATGAAGAACCTGAGGTGAAGACATATATTCTCAGATGCTTTGAAAAAGTTTAATTGATCATTAGGTTCCTAAGTTCAGATTTAGTATTAAGAATGTGTTTTGCAAAGCTTTTCAATTTCATTAACACAGTATTTCACTGTATAAGTAATTGGCTTTCTAGGTGAGAATTAAAAATATAAATCTGGTAATGGGAGTAGCTTAGTGGTAGAGCATTGTCTAGCATGCACAAGACCCTGGGCTCAACACCCAACAACGTAGGGTGAAAAAAACCCACCAAAATCCCAAATCTGTACAATATTTTCTGTTATCCTATTTGTTTCCCTAAGCATTCACTGATTTGCTTTGATAGATTATTTTAACTAGTCCCTGTCTGCCAGAGAAGAATTTGTAATAACATTGGTCAATGGGGACTAGAGTGTAGTTCAGTAGTAGTGCACAGTGCGAGGCCCTGAGTTTAATCCTCATCACCCTCTTCTCTTCAAGGAAAAAGGGGGGAGAAAAAAATATTGAATTTACACTRTGCTTATGGGATTATTTTAATCCTTCTCTTTAAGCACTCTTTGGCTATGTAACTTTGCTACCCATAGCATGGGAAGAGTCCAGAATGGTAGGTGGGAGATCATTCCTTTACTTTTTACAGCTCTTGCAAGCACTTTTAGAGCCCAGAGCTGCAATTGACATCCAGGAATGCCCAGTTAATGCTCATTTTTGCCATAACTTCTCTGTTTCTGCCTTTGGGTTGAAAACACACCATGTCTTCAGCTGGGCAACTTAAACTTGAATACAGATTTATAAGGCAGACTGAATTTGAAGGCTGTAGCCTTTCTACCTGGTAACCTGTGGCAACCCTGATCTTTTTACTGTCTTCATAATTTTGCCTTTTCCAGAATGTCATACAGATATTGCCTTTTCAGGTTTGTCCCTTTTTCTTGGTATAAATGTGCACCTAAGATTCTTTCCTGTCTGTTCATGACTTGGTAGCTTATTTCTTTTTTGGTACTGGATAGTATTCTATCATCTAGAATATTTGAAGATGAGGTAGTGCTTGCCTGTGCCTTTATACCTTAAGTATCAGCCATCTCTTTTGTCTGCAACTCAATTCTGTCATTCAGATCCATGTCAAAGCATTCTGGGTACACCAGGATTGTTGGGAAGGGATCTTGCCACTCCTAGATAGGATGTGAACCTTCACAGCATATAGAAGGTGCTGGAGACTGTTGTTTAGTGTCTGTGTGAGGAAGAGCAGCATATGGAAGCAGTTGTTGCTTATAAGCAATTTAGATCTCAAAGCTGTTCGTTAATTTAATTTTCTCCAACTTTGTTTTCCCCTGAAATCTCTCACATTGTGGCCTGGTCACTTCCAATTTATTTTTTTCCCAGCCATCAGACTCACACAGGTATGTGCTTTTGAGTGATGTTTTTGTGTTGGCATTTTAGAATCAGCCAAAAAATCATGATTTGTCTAACCGTTAATTTTTTTAAAAAATTCAATTCAACAGAATTAGTCTTAAAAGATTTTTCCCCCTAGTGATTACACGACTGCATGTAGGAAGTATCTTCTATCAATATAGGTGTTTATCACTGAAACTCCCCCTTATCCAGTAGAGCACTTTCTGGAGTGGCATGCCTTGGGACAGAAAATATGCTCATCTTAAAGGAATGGAGGAATATGGTTTTTCAAAAATAGCTTCATAAAAATAGGTTATGAGAGACTTGAGATAAGGGGCAGAAGAAGACATTTCTTAGAATTATCTTAAACATGGAATTCGGTGGTTAGAGCTAATTTAATGTTGCAATACTTGCTTCCTATGCATGAAATAATTATTAAAGAGCTTAGCAGCCTTTGTGGCTTCATAAACTCTGAAACCAACTGTTAAGAACTTGTCGAGTAAGTTCTGTAGTTAAATAAATGCCTGTCAAGCCAGGTGTGGTAGCACACACCTGTAATCCCAGTGGCTTAGGGAACTGAGGCAGGAGGATCACAAGTTCAAGGCCAGCCTTAACAATTTAGTGAGACCCTATCTCAAAATGAAAAATAAAAAGGGTTGGGTAAACTAAAAAATCAGTGGTAAAACATCTCTGAGTTCAATCTCCAGTACTCCCAAAATATATAAATAAAATAAAAGCCTATCAAATATTTTTCTTGTCATAAAAGGTATATTGCCAGCATTTAGAGTTTGATTCATTGATTTAAGGATGTGGTTTGAAGGATATTTCTTTTCCCTCTTAGATAATGAGAAAGTTAGACAGCTGCTTCTGGAGGGTGTGCCTGTGGAGTGTACGCATAGCTTTATCTGGAACCAAGATATCTGTAAGAGTGTCACAGAGAATAAAATCTCGGATCAGGTAACTAATAGAGTAAGGATTACTGGTAAAATCATGAATGATGGCTGAAATTTATCATTCTAGATACCATAAAAAGTGATTTTGTACCTTACAGAGGCTCACAGACTTTATTTTCAAACATTTTATGGATTTCTTATTCATAATATATATTGTGATTTTTTTTTCTGTTCTTAGGAAAGAATGATATGTAGAAAATGTATTTTTTCTCAAAGTGATAATCTTATGGTTTAAATACATTGTTCTTTAATCATTTTTGCCCCCTTAAATGTTGTCTGTCTCTAATTTCATGGTGAATGAGCTCTCACCAGAGCCAGGTGTTGTATTAGATGCTGGGATAGAGGACTATAATGTGGCTGAGGTATAGGGTACTGAGGAAGCCTCTGAAAAGGGTTCTGAACCCAGAGTAGAGAAATTGAGGCCTGCCTCCAGGATGGTGGAGCTGGTATTTCCACTTACTCTCAAATAGGAGTCAGAATTAAATTAACCATACTTCTTGGTGGGGAGGGTTGAGGCTTTAGCAGAGAAAGGATTTCAGGAAATGAGAACAATTGTGTGCAATGACCCAGACCAAATGACCCATTCATGTATCTCCTAGCAGGTCAGGAGCTAGGAGTCAGTAGGGGGTTAGGGGATGAAACTGAAATGATCAATGGGGGTCAGAGCATAAAAGAGTTTGAGACATTTAAGATTTTGGACTGATGATGTAAGGGCACCATTGAAGGTTTCAAGGCAGGCCATAACATGATGGGATTTCACTCTGGCAGCCTTGTGATAGGTGGATTAGACAGGGGAAGGAATGGGGAGTGGCTACGGTTTGGAAGGAGGTCTCTGGTTTGGATGTCTGCAGAAGAGAGCCTTGAAATAATCCAGATGGGATGATTGCATGATGGGAGTCTGAATTGTGGCAGTGTGGCTGGAGTAGAAGAGCTGGGGTTTTTAGTATACCTTCTAGAAAGTAAAATTGAGAAGACTTGGTGGTTGGCTGGAAGATGGAAAATAGGAAAGGAGACTTGTAGATTAGCTTCTCACATTTTAGCTTGGATTTAGAATTTCAGTTGAAAGAGAGCTAGAGCCATGTACTACTTTCCCCAGGTTCTAGAAAAGTGCCTGTCACTGTATTTGCTCAGTAGATATTTGAAATAATGAAAGTATGTTGTTATCCACTCCTTAAATTCCACTAAACAAATCATTTATATAGCATCTTCTATTTTAAATCATTCAGGCCTGGTGAGAAATTTTCTCAGAAGCCAGGGTACTTTTCCAATTGTTGTTATTAATTGTACCTTCTTTTACTTTTTACTTCTTTTATTTGTTTGTCTTGAATTATTTTCTTCCACTTTAGGATTTGAACCGGATGAGAAGTGAATTGCTGGTGCCTGGGTCACAGCTTGTTTTAGGTCCCCATGAATCCAAGATACCTATCCTTTTGATTCAGCAGCCAGGAAAAGTGACTGGTGAAGAGCGACTGGGCTGGGGAAGTGGCTGGGATGTCCTACTCCCAAAGGGCTGGGGCATGGCTTTCTGGATTCCATTCGTAAGTTACTTTTTGATTCCGACTAACAGTTGCAACATTTAAAATACATCCCTAATAAATACTAAATGCCAGACTTTGGGTACAACTTAGAATCTGAGTGGTATATTTCTGCCCTTAGATCTATAATCTGGGATATGGATACTTCATGGAAACAGTCCTTGGAGCTAGATTCTCATTACTAAGACCTGTTGTAACATATCATAAATTTTTGAAGCTTTTAAAGGTGGCTTGAGTTTTTTACTAATAGCAACAAAATGTTGTGTTTTTAACTTAAAGAAATCCATAATAGTTTAAAAGCAAAAGACAACTTTCATGGATATATAGAATGTACTTTTTAACTCTTATTTTAAAAAAATAATTATTTTTTAGTTTTAGGTGGACACAGTGTCTTTGTTGTACATTTATGTGGTGCTGAAGATCGAACCCAGTGCCTTGTGTATGCTAGGCAAACACTCTATCACTGAGCCACAACCCCAGCCATAGTACTCTTATTTTAAATTTTTTATTAAAATCTATTCTGGTTTTTTTTTCTGGTTAGTATAAATATACTTTGATGCTAGAAATTGTAAAAGGCATATTAGAATGTTAGATTGATGTAGGTAATTAATTTTTAGCCATTAGTGTTTAGTGCAAGGGACATTCATTTAATGAAATCCAGGAGTGGGAATACTTTAAAGTAATTCCACTTAATTTTTTAATTATGAAATTCAAGCATTAAAAAAAAGAAAAGATACCAATATAATGGATGCCTGCATCCCTCACCTGCCATCCAGCTGAAGAATAAAACATACAGATTCCCTGGAAGTACTCTGTGTCCTTTTCTCATTTCTCCTTCTCCTCCTGAAATAATCACCATTCTGGCATTGTGAATGTTGTGTCCCACAGTAAAATAAGTACATGTGACATGTTTTTAAACTACATAACTCATTGTATTTATGCTTGTCTTTCTTGGTGTGTTCACTTGATACTGAGCTTTTTCCACGTTGGTTGAAGAAGTTCAGTTTCATTCATTTTTACTACTGTATGGCCATGGATTTTCAGAATTATCTCACCATGTGTTTATCTGTTTTCTTCTTGATGTTTCCCGTTTTCCCCCTACAAACAATTAAGCAGTTTCACTTTAAGTTGGTTAAATTGAAAATAGCTCTTGATGTTTCTTTTAGATCTACCGAGGTGCAAGAGTTGGAGGGTTAAAAGAGGCGCTGATGCATTCTCAGTATAAAAGGTTACCTCACATCCCGGGTGACTTCCCAGACTGTCCTGCTGGGGCTCTGTTTGCTGAAGAGCAAGCCAAGAATCTTCTGGAAAAGTACAAAAGGTAAGGTGCTGCCCTTTCTAGTCTGTAATGGTAAGGGGATGAGAAGTGTGGGCGCTCCTTGATGAGCAGTTGGGAGGAGGCTGCAGTAGCTCCTGATGTGTAATGTGGAGTCTTCACAGGCTTGCCTTGAGTTCTGGGTCGGCAGGAAGTAAGGAAGAAGATAATACTTATGTCACAAGATTGTTTTATATGTAAATGGTTTTTATTGACCCATCTGGGTTACAACTTTCCTCCTGGCTATTTGCTGCCACCTTAACTGTGGCCCTGGGTTTTAGACACTTGCCAATAGATTCTCATGCCATTCCCCCACTCCCTGGAAGCTGTACTTTTTAAGAACTGTTTATAAAAGCAATACCTATTTATAATTTTTTTTTTTTTGGTACCAGTGATTGAACCCATGAGTGCTTAACCACTGAACTACATCCTCAGTCCTTTTTTAATATTATATTTAGAGACAGGGTCTCACTGAGTTGCTTAGGGCCTCACTAAATTGCTGAGGCTGGCTTTGAACTTGCAATCCTCCGCCTCCAACTCCAGAGCTGCTGGGATTACTGGCATGTGCTACTGTACCCAGTTTTATTTATAACATTTTAAGAAAACTATTGAAATATGTAAAAAATTCTTTATAAATTGAAGTAGTCCTGCCATCTGGTGAAGTCAACACTCTTTATATTTAGTATCTATATTTCTAAACTTTTTTCCTTTTGTGTCCTTCTTTGGAGATGAACAAATGAGGCCTTTATTTCATTTATGTAGGGAAGTACATATGAACATTAGAAATCTGTATTCCCACTAATTGTAAGTTCCCAGCACAGAAGTGCACTTGTGCACGCACTCTCTCACACTCTCTTTCTCATTTTTTTTTTTTTGTACTAGGGATTGAACTCAGGGGCACTCGACCACTGAGCCACATCCCCAGCCCTATTTTGTATTTTATTTAGAGACAGGGTCTCACTGAGTTGCTTAGCACCTTGCTGTTGCTGAGGCTGGCTTTGAACTTGTGATCCTCCTGCCTCAGCTTCCAAAGTCACTGGGGTTACAGGCATGTGCCACCATGCCCACCTTCCCCCTTTCATTTCTTGTGGCATCTTCCATGTGTAGCTAGTGCTGATGCATGGTAGGCCTTAATAGCTTTCATTTAAAAAAAAAATTATTTTTTGTCTGCTGAATGAGGGAATAATCAAATGTTGTAGTTCCTTGACTGATGGACAGCTAAATAACTGAGAGGATGAATGGTGATACATTCCTGGAAAGCTAGCTCACCAGCTCTTTGAGGGCAGTGGCCTCTTGCTGTATGTCCTGTACCCTCCCATAAAACACAGTTGAGGTCCTCTATGTGTTTGTGAAATAATAATGATGATAATACTATTTTTCACTATATAGACTTTTAGTGCATGTACATTTTCCATTGGTACAAATTTTTTAATAAAAGGATTATACTATATTATTTTGAAATCTGTCTTTTCCATTTAACAGCATATTGTGGATAGTTTCCCCATTTTAATAAATATGACTCTAAATCAAATGTTGGCAAACTTTTTTGTTAGTGGGTCAGATGGTAAATATTTTTGGCTTTGAGGGCCCTTTGTCTTCATGACAATAAATGCTGCCATTTTGGCATGAAAGCAGCAGCCGTGGATGACATAAAAACAAATGAGCGTGGTTGTGTTCTAATCAGACTTTTTTTTGTGGACACTTGAATTTGAATTTCATATAATCTTCATGTGTCGTAAAATATTACTTTTCCTTTTTGCAACCATTTAAAAACGCAACAACTGTTCTTAGCTCATGGGTTGTACAAAAAAAGATATGGGCCATATTCAGCCTGTGAGTCACGTGGCTTGCTGGCTGTCACTCAAGAGTACAGCTTGAGTGAGTCCCTAGGATTGCAGAGTGGATGTACTATATTTTACCAGTGGCCCTTTTGGTTATTTCCGATTTCTTGCTGCGTGCTTCCGTGAATATCTGTCTGTACACGTCTCTCTGGGGACTTACTCATCTCACACATGCTTGTTTAGAGCCTGCTGTGGGTCTGATATTGTTCTTGACTACGGCAGGAATGAAGCAAAGTGTGGTTCCTGCCTTTGTGGACTCATGATCACATATTTCTGGGCTGGTGGGAGGATCCGGGAAAGGGAAGGGGGCCCCTGATAGGATTGGGCTCAGTTCTTCCATTTTCATAGTTGGAGGGTGGACTCTGCAGTCTGACTCCAGATCTAGGTTCCTTAGACTCTGTGGGGGAGATTAGGTGGCATGTGTTGGATTGTGACTGTCTTCTCAGTGAACAGAGAGTGAGGTGCTGACTTGGAGAGTCACTTAATGGGGATGGGCTTTGCAGGTGGAGAGGGTTGAGAGCCCATATAATGGAGGGACTGTCCCGTGAACCCTGGAGTCGAAGCCGACAGCAGGGATGAGGGTACAGTGGTGAGCACTGAGGCAGTGGTAGCAAAGATGAATAGGAGGCTCCAGTGGTTGAAGGATGTGGAGGGGGGGTAAGTGGGCTGAAAGTAGAGGAGTGACGTGCATGAAATTGAGATTTTAAGGTGGAGCAGAGTCGGCAATGACCAAACCTGAGGGATGGCCAGGGGTGTGGGTGCTTGAGGGTGAGGTAAAGTAAAAGTAGTGAAGGACACAGGCCCCAGGGCACTGGAAGGATGATGACTGTAGATGCCGAGGCCACTGGAAATGACATTAAATGTTTGGGGGCGGAGAGGAAGGTGGTGTGGCTAGTAAATGGGGCACCTGGGAAGTTGGTAGAGGACTTGACCAAGGAGAGCGAGCCTGTGGCTTGTCTGATGGCGTATGCTTCAGGGAAACTGGAATCAGGAAGAAAAGGAAGGAAAAAAGTGGCCTGGGCATATGAAGACCATCTGATATGGACCGTGGGCAGTGAGAAGGAAACAGCCATTATTGGAAAAGGGTTATAGGACAGCAAGAACAGACCTTGAGCTAAATGCCTATAAATGACATACCTGGTTTTAAAAAAAGTTGTCCATATTAAGGCTTTTGGTGTACCGTGCCCGTTGTTTCAGTACTGACTTTAGGATCTCACTTGTAGTGAGGGGAATGGCTCCTGTCACTTTCACCAGTGTGGGCTGTTGTCCTGTTAATATTGGCCAACTAAAATGAGAAATGATATCTTAAATGTTTTGTTTTATTAACTAGTGAGGTTAGATATTTTTATGTTTTTCATTATTTCATGCTTCTTTTCTTACAAATTACTCATTTATTTATTTTGCTTCTTTTTCTCTTGGCATTTAGCTATCCTTCCTTCTCTCCCTCYTTCCTTCCTTTTATCCCTCCCTCCCCTTCCCTTCCTTTCTCCTCCCCCTCCTCCCACCTTTTCCCTGTGCTGAGGATTGAATCAGGGGCTTCACATATACTAGGTGTGTGCTCTCCCACTGAGCTACATTCCAGCCCTGCTTTATTGATTTTTAAGTGTTTTTTTTTCCTCCTTTCTCCTTTCTCATATACATTGCAAATATTATTCCCTGCTTTATCTGCTTTACAATTTTGAATTTGTGCATATATTAACACATTTTTTCTGATGGGGTTTTAGACTTTAGTGTTCTGCTTAGGAAGTCATTTCCAGTTGCAAGATGCCTATTTAAAGGACATTACAATGCAGTGGTTAATGCATCCATACAACCTAGGTTCATATCTTCATTTAACCACTAACAGCTCTGGGGTCTTAGTTTAGATAGGAACCTATCCCGTGGATAGCTGTGAGAATTGTATTAATCAGGGTAGTGCTAATTGTTAGAACAAACAAACCCCATATGTCAGGAGCTTAACACAAAGATACGTTATTTCTCACTCGTGGAGTAATCGAATGTGGTATTCTTGATCAGGGGATGGGGTTCCAGAGATCTGGGGATCTTCTATCCTTTGGTTTTACCTGGGCACTCAGGGTCTTTGCATACAGCTGACTGGGGGAACAGCATAGGGGAATATGGGCTAGGCCTAGAAATGATGAGCAGGTCACTTCCACTCACATTCTATTGGCCTGGTCCATTTGGCCACAAGGAAAGGGAAGATGTGCAATCTAGCAGTGTTCAGGAGGAAGATAAAATGCATTCAGTGAAAACTCCCTAGGCAGTGGCTGCACAAGGATTGAATAAGTTAAGATGAATGAAGCACTTGGAACAGTGTGGTAAGTGTTCAGTAAGTATTAGCTATTGTTATTGTTATCACTCCAGCCTTTATTGAATTTATATTAATTAAAGTAGGATGGTACTGCCAAACAGGAAGCCATTTCTGACTCAAACCCCACTCCCTACTTCCTGCATTCTGTATTTTCTTTCTTTATCCAATATTGCTGTATACTGAAAGTAGAGAGAACAAGTTAAACATGAACCCTCTCTGTCTTATAACCTAGTGTCTGTTTACTTAAATATGAAATTTTGGAAGAAATGGCTTAAATACTTTTTCATGGGATTAAGGAGTGTGTGTGTGCGTGTGTGTGTGTGTTAGTGTGTATGTGTGTGTGTGTGTGTGTGTGTGTGTGTGTGTGTGTATGTGTAGTGTTAGGGCTCAAACCCAGGACCTCCTGCATGCTAGGCAAGCACTGTAACACTGAGCTACATCCCTAGCCAAGGACATATATTTTTTTTTCTTTAAAAATCTACCCAAGGTTTTGGGATATAGCTCAGTTGGTAGAGTGCTTGCCTTGCATGCACAAGGCCCTGGGTTTAATCCCCAGCACCACACACACACACACAMAMAAAAATCTACCCAAAATGTGTGTATATTTCATATGAATTTATACAACTTAAATGTTTGAAGAATTATCGTGTTCTGCTTAACCAAGTTGCAGCACTACATACACTATCATAGATGGGCTTCTTAATCGAGGAATTGAGAGAGGCAGCTGTTGTTATCTCTCTGGACTTGGAAAGATGTCTGGGTGGGGCAGGTGCCTCTCAGGAAGCCAATACACATTTAATTCAACCTTGAGAGTTTAGCTCAGTGGGCCCTATTAAGCCTACAGGATCATTTCCATGGGAGAATCAGAACACAGCACATAATAAGAAGTAAATGAGGGGAGGGTTGTATGGACCTGTCTCAGAGTAGATCATCAGACAACCTAAGGATGCAGTCTTAAAGAGTGCCCAGGCCAGTAGAGCCAACAGCAGGCCAATTCCCTACTTCTTGGTCAGGCCTGATTTTCATTATCTTGTAGTATTTTTCAAAGGCTTTTCCTCATTCACACATTGCTAGAAAGATCATTTAGTGTGACTGTTGTGAAAAGAAGTTTGGAAGTATCTGTCAAATTTTGAAGTGCTTTTATTCTTTGCCTTAGTTCCATTGCTAGGAGCTTCTCCTATGGATATGCCTTGTGATGTGCATATTCCCAGTCATTCATTGCTGTAGTGTTTGTAGAAGCAAAAGTGTGAAAATAACCAAAAGTTATTTTCATAGAGGACTGTGTAAATAGATTAAGGTATATTCATATTACGGTAGAAAAGATACATAACCTTTTACAAAAGAATGAGGGAATTTGATGTATTGATATAAAAACAGTCTCCAAGATATTTTGTTAAGCAGAAAAAGTGAAGTTAACAAAAAGTACCGTATCTAGTATGCCACCATTTGTATAAAGATAARTGAAAAGAAATAAGTACATATGTATTTGCATGAACATAAACTGATAATGATGCTGTCTTCGTGGAGGGCAGTAGGGTCACTAGAGGTGAGGAGTGAGAAAGAAACTTCACTATAACCTTGAACTTAGAACCTTGTGAATATATAGGAACATCACTTCACAACTCCAGGGCACCATGTAATTGGAGCTCTCAGGAATGGTCCTCCCTGGGGTTGTTCAGTAGCCACATGGGACTACTTTGTGGGTGCAATATCTATTAAATACCAAAGAAAACAAAAGAACTTGGCCAGTAGAGTTGGCTATTATTCTTTATCATACATTTAAAATTTTTTTTGTTATTATATATGGACACAATACTTTTATTTTATTTATTTATTTTTATGTGGTGTTGAGGATTGAACCCTGTGCCTCATACATGCCAGGCAAGCGCTATATCACTGAGACATGCCCCCAGCCCCATACATTTCTTGGAAAGCCATTTTTGTGTGATTGTTGTTTAAATAAAAATGTATTATGATGGTGATGATTATTTTAATTGTCTTGCCCACTTCTCAGTTGTTGAGAATCAGTTCTCTTTTCATTTTTTATTAGACGCCCTCCTGCCAAACGACCTAACTATGTTAAACTTGGCACACTGGCACCTTTCTGCTGTCCCTGGGAGCAGTTAACTCAGGACTGGGAGTCCAGAGTCCATGCCCAAGATGTGTCTTCTGTTGCTTCGTCTCCATGTGGTGAGGAGGGTGACCTAAAAAGACATTGGATGCCTCATGCTCCTGAAAAGTCTCATCAGTCTGAAGTGGGCACATCTGTAAATGACCGTGGGGACCTAGAAGTCATGGACACAGAGTGTCAGGACCAGGCAGAAACTGGGACGATAATAGACCAGGGTGCTGGTGAGAACCATGTTGCTGCCACCAGTAGTCAACTCTGTGTTCTCAGGTGAGTGTGAGTGGCTTCTAGATGCATGTTGGATTGCTAATGTTCATGTTAAACAGGCTCCAGGGTGTGAAAGTTATCACTATTTCTTTATGCAAATCCCAGGTGAACTTATGGACTTTCTGGAAAGGAAAGCCAGTCCTTTGATGTTTCATAGAGGGCCCAGGAAGACACCTTAATTAGATACTTGATTGAGGCCTGGTGCTTACTCATGACCTGATTGAAAATGTTGTCATCCACAGTCCTAGACCTAGTCAGTTTTTCCTGTGACCTATTGCATTTAGTCTTTGCTCACAAAGAAGTGCCTTCGTTGAATGACCCTAGGTAACAAGGCACTCTGTGCATAGAGTGGCTTTCTTTGCTTTATATCACTGATTAGCACTCTTCTAGCTCCTTTTGAATTATATGGTTTGTGGGAGTTAGCAGCCTGTTCAGGGAAACGTGGTCTTATAGCAGCTTCCACATGAAATGTGTTCTGCCCTTGGTGCTTCTGCAGACACCCTGTGCAATATGCTGTGATTTTAAAAAGTGCTCACTTCTCTTGGCTCATACTTATTTTTCTGTGTAGTTAATTTCATGATTTTATAATCTTATTTCTTACTTTATATATACTGTCTCTTCAGGTCTTTCTTATCAAAATATCAGCTCCTCTTTATTCTCATCTTCTCACTGTGATTACACTTCTAGTATTTTCTATCCCACTCTCTTTTCTCAGCCTTCAACTTCTTAAACCTTTAATCCTTCAGTTTCAGAATATCAGGTACATAAAAAGAAAAATATTGTTACTGAAGAATCTTTTTTTGTGTGTGGTACTGGGGATTGAACCCGGGGCTTTGTGCATGCAAGGCAAGCACTCTACTAACTGAGCCATATCCCACCGTTACTGAAGTATTTTAAGTTTTAAAAAAAATTGTAGTTTTGATACTTTCCCATGTTGCAGTTTTAAAAATCAAATTAACTCTAGCAATGCCTAATCTTCTATTTGAAGATTTTATTATTTTAACAAAATATCCTCAAATGTGTGTCTCTGACTTCTTGTAGGAATAGGAAATTACTGAAGCAATTGTCAGCCTGGTGTGGGCCCAGTTCTGCAAACAATCGGGTGGTCCGGTGGGCTGCCAGCAGAGGCCAGCAAGAATTGACCACAGAGGCCCGCCTGTCCATCTTGGATCACTTTCCCAGGGCCCTGGTATGGGTCAGCCTGTCCCTGCTCAGGAAGGGCAGCCCTGAGCCACTCACCATGATCTGTGTCCCAACTGAGGAGGACTTCCTCCAACTCAGCCAGGATCAGCACTACTGTGGGCCCCAGGAAGCCAGACACAGTGATCCATTCAAGAGCATGATCCTGAAACAGAAAGAGAAGAAGAAAATGGAGAGGAGGCAGAACCGAGAGTTTGCTGCTTCCGAGGGCCTGGCAGTGGAGACCCCTGCTGCTGGGCAGGGAGCTCTGACTCTGGGGCTGTGGCCAGGCCCCCTCCCAGGTATGATCGCCCACTGTTCCAGAATCCTCCTAGGCTTTGTCACCCAGGGAGACTTTTCCATGGCCATTGGCTGTGGAGAAGCTCTGGGGTTCGTGAGTCTGACAGGATTGCTGGACATGCTGCCCAGGCAGCCAGCAGCTGGAAGGGGCCTGGTGCTGCTGAGGCCTCCCGCCTCCCTGCAGTACCGATTTGCCAGGATTGCCATTGAGGTATGAGTGCCGGTTCACCGCCTAGCAGGGCATAGGTGATTTTATTTACAAAGTCCCACAGTTGGAATCTTGCTTTCCTTGTCTTCTGTTTCAAAATATCATGTGAAATTCCTTGAAAAGAAGAATTAAGAATATATATATTATGAAATGATGAAATACTTACATCATTTCATCTTTCCCTGCCCTTGCTGTGTAATTGTCTGGTACGTGTGGCCAAAAGCTTTTTATTGTGATTTTTTTGTTTGCGTAATTCTTGCTGAAAAGCAGGGCACATTATTAAAGCTTTACTTTTTATTGTCCCTTTTTTGTTAGGAGCAAAGAACTGTGAGGTCCGTTTGAGCTCCTAGTCATGTAATAAGCAGCAGTAGCTATTTAATAAAGAGGAAGAGACTATAAACATCTGGCTTCTGTACGTGAGATATCGGCCCTGTATGGGCCGTGCTCAAACCTGTACTGTAATCAGTATGCTGAGTACCTTGTGCCATAAAGAATGAAATAACAGACAATTTATTGCTGCCTGTATATGATAAAAGTGTTGGGTTGGAATTTAAAGAGGTCTGTGACTTTATGAACTTGACCAACATGTGACCTTGATCACATATTGACCAACATGTGATCCTAGGAGTTAATTTTTTTAAGTAAAAAATTTTTATTTTTGTTTCTGTAAAGAATTTCTCAAAGCCATATAGGAGAATTCTTAGAGCATGTTCTGAGAGAGAGAGAGAGAGAGAGAGAGAGAGAGATATTCCAAAAGTAGATAATGGTGTATAGTGTTTTTAAAAATCTTTTTGATCCTCGAATTCCTTTTCTAAGGAGCACTTTGTGGGATCAGTATCCTTAGGAACACGCTTTGGTCAGCGTGGCTATATGGTACAGTAGCTACCTCTGCAAAGTGATGACTGAAATGACCATCTGCTGTCAAAACGCCACCCATGCAGTCACATCGTCCACTGCAGGTCTTGAGCAGGGCATAAGAAATCTCTTATCCTGCCCCATGGCAGGCTCATGATTGCTGTTTTCACTTGGAGAAACCTGGTGGCTCATTAACCTCCATCTACTTCAGCCCCTGACTTCCTGCCATCCTTTTTCTAACAGAGCCTGAGTAATATGTTTTGAATTTACACGTGCATTAGGCATCATTTCATGTAAATAAATGCATTGTGTTTTTGCAGTCTTTGGGGGTGATGAGTTGGGGACAAACTGGCAAGCCTTCCAGTAGTTGGAAAGCCCTTGAGCCAATGAATGGCTGATGTTTCTCCTCTCACCAAGCTTCTCAGTGTCTTTGTGTCCAACAACAAATGAGATCAAGGAAAATAGTGTATCTAAGTGCTGTCTGTAAACAGAATAAATTAAAATATCACCTGATGTTCAGTTGTGAATATTTTTTGGACCATTTCTCATTGCTTTCTAGGCTCTGAGCCACTTCATCAGTGGCTTAGCTTTCTTGATGACAGAAGTCTGAATGTGCTGTGTGTTGCCTAACCGCATTCTATACAGCACCTGGGGCCTGCTGCTCTGCCGTGGGTACAGGGGACAGGTCACATTTCAGTTACTCTGCTGTGTGGGTGGTAAGTCAAAGAGTCACAGGCTGAAAGGATAGTTGGTGTGTGGAAAAAGGTATTTCATGACTAAATAAACTTGAGAAGAGGGATAGGACATCTTCCTGTTGCACATCCACAATGAATATGTGCTGTCAACATCCTGCATCTCTTCAGGAAAGGAATCTTTTTCTGACTTGTCTATAACACTCTTTTTTTTTTTTTTTTTTTTGGTACTTATTGTCCAGAAAACATTAGTTTTGCAGAATATAACTTGAAAATCTAATAGAATCTGCACACATTCAGTAAAGAATTCGTATCCCTGACCAAAAACAAAGATTGTTGGGACTCGCTTTATTCTCTATAGCCACTGAATTGATTAACATGTTTATTTTCATCTTGTCAGGTGCCTGCTGCACTCTAGTCACATAGCCACAAAATACAACATGGTCCTGTTCTTTTGTTAAGGGGACAGTGGTTTCAGAGTCCACTAAGTCAGAAAGTATCCTAATAAGAGTTGTGAGCTGAACACTCAGATCAGTTACATGCAGTTTTTTCTGGGTGATTAGCTTTTTTTCCTTTTTGGTTTTACTTAAGTAATGCTATATCTATCATCCATATTCATCATAAAAAAACAGTGAAGATCACCAACAATGAAAAAATTAAAATTACCTGGATTTCACTACCCTGATGTAACTACAGTTTAACCTTTCTGGTGCACATCCATTTGGTGTGAAAATATATGTGGGTAATCTCTTATTTTTTTTTTTTTTTCTTAGAGACATGGTCTCACTGAGTTGCTGAGCCCTTCACCATTGCTGAGGGTGGTTTTGAACTTGTAATCCTCCTGTCTCAGTCTCCTGAGAAGCTGGGATTACAGGCATCTGCCATGGTGCCCAGTGGGTCATCTCTGAAGAAAAAATGTTAAAAGGGAATGAAAGGGTGGGAGGAAGGATAGGAATAGGAAAGACAGTAGAATGAATCGGACATAACCTTCCTATGTTCATATATGAACACACAGTGTAACTCCACAACATGCTCAACCACAAGAATGGGATCCTAATTAGAATAAGTTACACTCTATGTATGAATAATGTCAAAATACACTCTACTGTCATGTATATCTAAAAAGAACAAAAAAAATGAAAAAAGTAATTGCTTAAATAAAATCATATACAAGTGTAGCCTAGGTTCATGTTGCCAGTTTCCTTATGAAGCTTGATTAGCATGAACCCTAATGTTAATTGGCCTTTTATTGGAAATAATAGGAAATGGTGCTTTACGTATAAATGTAGCATTGCTTTCTCCGTGCTACATGCTTAGGGTGAGTTCTTGCTCCCAAGCCTCTGGGAAATAGTCTTAAGTGCTTGTGGCCAATTTAAGGCCTGGAGAGTACAGAACTAGATTCAGGACTGGGTTGCTTAGCAGATACAGGTTGAACATCCAGAATCCAAAAATATTCCCAAATCCACAGTGTCCCTAAATCCAAAACATTTGGATTCTGACTTGACATTGCCAAGTTGGAAAATTTCACGTTTGACCTGATATATTCACTATCAAAACGTGCACTAAAAATACTGTGTAAAATGAGCTTTGGGCTATATGTATAAAGTGTGTATAAGACATAAATGGACTTCATTTTTAGACTTTGATCCCCTCCCCAAGATACCTCATATATATGCAAATATCCCAAAATAAAAAAAAAATAATCCAGAATCTGAAATATTTCTGGTACCAAGCATTTTGGATAAGGAACATTCAACCCATCATAAAAAATAGTACTATTGGTAGGTCACTTGGGAAGCAACCCCAGTGACACAGGGGTTCTAGTGACTGCAGGCCTCCCCAAACATGAGGGACCACAGGTGCTGTTTTTCTTTGGCAACAGTGGCTTACCACCTCAGCTGCATGTTAGGATCAGCTGATAGTACAAACCTCAACCAGATCAATCTTGAATTGGGTCTAAGCATCAGTATTAAAAAGCCCCCTAGGCCACTGATGAGCAGCTGGGGCTGGATCTGCTGCTGTAGGAGGTTTGGCTATTTGAACCCTCTGACCCTGGGGAAGTGTGCATGAATAAGGAGGACATGGAAACCTCATAATTCTGTGCCCTTAGCAGACCTGCTTGCTAGTGTGAAACCTGACCTTCTTGTAACATCAGCTCCCAGGGGCTCTGGACCGCAGTGTGAAGCGTCCAGATGGAACTTAATTAGCATCAAGCAGAGGGCTGGATGGCCCTGAGTGGTGCCTTCCACATGGGAAGTGGGCCTGCTCTTGAGGGAAAAAACCCAAACACGCACAAAACAGCCTGGCTCATTATTCATATATAACGTTCACTACTTGGGAGTACCAGGTGAGGTGTTTTCTTTCTTTCTCTCCCCACCCTGCTTGGCAAGCATCTCTCCAGGTCAGTTGTTCTCAAATTCATCAGCACATTGGAATTACCTTGGGAGCCCAGGGATGCAGCTTTAACTGGTTAGGGCTGTGGCTTGGACATTGGAATTCTTAAGAGCTCTCTGGTAGTTTGTGGCCCAGGTTGAGAGCCACTATTCTGAATTTTAAAACCAGAGTCCCCTGTAATCAGCCAAAGACACAGCTTATCAGGAATGGGAATCATGAGAGCAGAGCAGCTATTATTATTTTTATTTTGTTTTGTKTTTTTTATATTTGAATCAGATGGGAAAAAATTTCTCATTTTTCTGAGTGAGCAGGTTGCAGGATTATATTGGTCATGCAGTTACATACATACCGACAGCAATAATAATGTCTATTTTATTCTGCTGTCCTTCTATTCCCCCCTTCCCTTCACTCCCCTCCCATCACTTCTCTCTACCCAATCTAATGTGACCCACTTCTTTTTTTTTTCCTCACATCATCATACCTGTATTCTGTATAACGAAGGGGGTCTCCTTCCCTCTTCCATGCAATTCCCCTTCTCCCTCCCTTTCCCTCCTACCTCTTTTCCCTATCTAGAAGTAATTTTCTTCTCATGGAGAGCAGCCATTATTGATGTTCCCGGTTGGGGTCCTGGTGGAGTTGAACAAATGGGTGAGTTCACATCAAGGTATTACCCCTCCTTCCCTAAGGAAATGTTTAGAGACAAGATACCCTCCTAGTTTCCAGGCTCATCGTGTTTCCCTGTGCTCTGAGTGCCCTGATCTTTCATCATCTCCTACAGCTGAGCCCTGGGCCCCTCCACAATTCTGCACGTGCTACGTTCTGCCTTCATGGAATGTTCTCAGCTACCCTGTCCCATCTCCCCAGCTTGAGCTTCGTTTCTTGGGGTAGTTTCTCTGACTACCCAATTTAAAATATGCCCTTTCTGCCTACATTATCCTCTGTCCCACGGCAGGTTTATTTTCTGATGACATTACAATGCATAATCATTAAATTTTTTATTGTTTGTTCATCTACTCCATTAGACTGTGAACCTCAAGAAGGCAAGACCATGTCTTCTTTGATTACTCTTTAACCCCAGGTTCTGGCACAGTGCTTAACCTATACTGTGTCTTTTGTTGAATTGATAAATCAACCAGGGTGTTTGTAGTAAATTACTACGTTGCAGGTCAGACATATGTTGTAATGAATAAGTTAACCACTAGGTGGT